AGTGTGTGCCTTACGGAACTTTCTTAGAATGGCATTGCAGTCTACAACCACCGAATCTTCCTTCCTCCCTCCCTCCCGGCCTCCTCTAGCTCCCTCCTCGCTACCCCTCCCCCACCCGGCATTTTCCCCCAATAAATCTCTTGGATATTTCATCCCATATTGGCTGTCTCAGAGGACCTGGACTATCACCCCTTCCCATAACAGATTTGGATAAACTAAAAGAAAGAGAGAGGGCTTCCAGGCAGGTAAACAGCATGAATGAAGTTGTGGAGGTAGCAAAGCCCAGCGTGTGTTCACACCACATGGGGAAATTAGCCTGTCCTAAGAAGGCATCAAATCCCCATGCTATAGCCTAGCAAAAGAAGTGCTGTGTGACCTTGGGTATCTTACTGAGTCTCTCCGGGCCTTGCTTTCACCATTTGCAAACTGGGAATACGAACATTATTTACAGGGTCTTGTGGGGGATTAGACAAGTTAATATGAAAAAGTATTTTGAATGGCCTAACTTACCAACTAAAGTTAGAGCCATAACTACAAAAATATTTAAAACTGGCCTTCTCTGATGAGACTAGATTTTAGCTTTGAAGAAGGCAACACACAGGGGCGCCTGGGTGGCTCAGTTGGTTAAGTGACTGCTTTCGGCTCAGGTCATGATCCTGGATTCCCAGGATCGAGTCCCGCATCGGGCTCTCTGCTCAGCAGGGAGTCTGCTTCTCCCTCTGACCCTCTCCCCTCTCATGCTCTCTCTCTCTCTCAAATAAATGAATCTTTTAAAAAAAAAAAAGGCAACACACATAATATTTTCCTTTCTAAACGTAATGTGTTTGTGGTCTTTGGGATGCAGATATGAACAGGATCTGGTCCCTGGAAAAAAGCAGGAGTGTGGGAGGAAAACTGTCCTTTCCCAGCAGAGTCCCCCATTTTCTGGACTTGGGTCTTGACATTGTCCTCATGACCCTATTGCAGCCAGATAAGAGAGCGGAGGTTGGGCAGGATCAGAGAGTTGCCCATATGTCTTGTCTCTACTAGACAGTGGACATCTGGATGCAACAAGACTCCTACAGGGGAATGTGTAGATGCTTGTCACTGGGTGAGAGCCCCTGGGAGAGCTGGAAGGAAGAAGGAATTTCCTGAGACTCCACCTGACACGTGGGCTTCACTTCCCAGATGAAGATTTGGATGCCAGGATTGGAACCGTGCTGGGTGACTCCCTGCCATCACCACTACCAGCAACGTGCCCATTATACAGATGAAGTAGTTGAGGCTCAGCGAGATGAAGTGATTTGCTTAAGGTCCTGTGGCAAGCGAGTGGCCATGATGAGATTTGAACTTAGCTCTCAAGCCTTGTTTGTCCCAGCCCTTCTGCCACAGGCTGGAGGGGTGGCCCTTGAGGAACTTTTCCCTCATCTTCAGTCTTGAGGTCATACCAGCCCTCAGCAGGGCCCTGTCAGGCCTCATGGGTCAGGGGAGTTTGGAATCTCTGCTTCTTGCCTGAGCCTGGCTGTTCTGCAAGATGCCATAGCTGGAGAGTTAGGCCCCCTATGAAAAGGATACCCTATTAGCTTAATCAAGTTAGCAAGCCTGATCTGTAATACAAGTGAGAATAATAAGATGAAGTGACACTTTTGAAAGCTCACGTGGGCGGGTACTGTGAGAAGCGCTTTGGATGCATTCACCTCGCGGGGTCCTCACTATAGCCATGACCGGAAGGTTGTCTTAGCTAGAAATGTTTTTGGCTGCACGTAAGAGAAAATCTGACTCATTGTGTCTTCGGCAACACAGACATTTGATTAATTCTTTTTTTTTTTAAAGATTTTATTTATTTATTTGAGAGAGAGAATGAGAGAGAGCGAGCAGGAGAGGGGGGAGGGTCAGAGGGAGAAGCAGACTCCCTGCCGAGCGGGGAGCCCGATGCGGGACTCGATCCTGGGATTCCAGGATCATGACCTGAGCCGAAGGCAGTCGCTTAACCAACTGAGCCACCCAGGCACCCGACATTTGATTAATTCTTAAACAAAAGCCTGGAGACGGGGTTCCTGGGATGGTTATTCCTTAGCTCGGGTTTGGGGCTCCGCAATTTTTCTGGCCTCCCCTCATGACACCCTACCATCACATCCTCACACAATGGCCCCCAGAGAAGAGGAGGCAAATAGGGAGGAAAAAAAATCTCCCAGAAACCCCCAGCAGAGGTCCAGAAGGCACCCACATGGCCTCTCCGGGACCAATCCCTAGCAAAGAGGGATATCCCTGGTTGGCTCAGACCAATGGGCAGAAGGCGGGGCCACCTTCCTAAACATGTGCTCCATTCCTGAACAAAATCAGTTCCATTAACGAGGGTAGAGGCCCCAACACATCTCTTCTTGATGTGGGAGCAACTGGTCTCCTTCCTTGTGGGGGGGGCGGTTGTCCCTAGAATGAGCAGGAGGAGAGACATGCTATTTGGGAGTGATTTGGATTGGGGAGCTGCTGGTTTACACTCGTTGTAAACACTGGGATGTGCAGTGGAAGAGCTAACATTTATTGAGCACCTACTGTATACCAGGTCCCATGCTGGATGATTTCATTCTCTCATCATTTAATCCAGTCCTCACAATAGACCTGTGAGGAAGGAACGATTCTTCCCATTTTTCAGATGACAAAACTGAGTCCTAGCCCTGATCACATATATGGTGAGAGGCTGAACTGGAATAGTGCTGACAGCAGTTCACTTTCACTAACGCTGGCCTGTGTTTCCAGCATCCAAGGCGTGTCCCTTGGATTAGGTCATTTACTCAACCCCACTCTTGGGGGGGGGGGTAACCTTGCTCTTCGCCACTGACGAGGCACCGTGGCTCAGGGAGATGGAACAGACTGCTCAGTCACACAGCTTAGCGTTGGCCAAGCTGGGCTGTGAACCCTACTGCCAGAAGGCCGCCCCATCGTGCTCCCCAAATTTGGAGAAAACCCTACAGGCCTGTTCTGTGGCCTTTTTGGGATTGCTGGCTTTGTAGGCGGATAAGCTGGATAAATAAACAAGAGGTTCAGGAAACTCCTTTTGCCTCTTGGTGTTCTGAATCCAAAGGACACATGAGGGTCATCCAGCTGCACTGACAGCGAACATTAAACAGGCAAATAAATGAATCTTTAACATCACAGCAGGAATGTTAAGTACTGTCAAGAAAAACCCAAACAGGGGCGCCTGGGTGGCTCAGTTGGTTAAGTGACTGCCTTCGGCTCAGGTCATGATCCTGGAGTCCCGGGATCGAGTCCCGCATCGGGCTCCCTGCTCGGCAGGGAGTCTGCTTCTCCCTCTGACCCTCCTCCCTCTCATGCTGTCTCTCATTCTCTCTCTCTCAAATAAATAAATAAAATCTTTAAAAAAAACAACAACACCCCAAACAGGTTAAAGCAATAGAGAATGATGGCATGACCACTTTAGACCAGGTGGTCAGGGAGGGTTTCTTGGAGGAGCTGACGGTTGAACAGAGACTGAAGGATGAGGGATGTGATGGAAAGAGCCAGCTGTGCAAGTCTCTGAGCGATCGTTCTAGACAGAGAGAATATCAAGTGCAAAGGCCCTGAGGTAGAAGTGAGTTTGGCACATTTGGGGAAGGACAAGAGATGAGTGTGGCCGGAGCAGAGTTGGGGAGGCAGAGAGTGGGGGGCCATGAGGTTAGGGAGATAAAAGTGGGAGGGGGCAGATCATGCTGGTCCTTACAGGACCTTGTAAGGACTTGGAGCTGTGCTCTGAGTGAGGTGGAGCCACGGAGAGTTCTGAGCAGGATTCAGTTACAGGATCTGACTTGGATCTACCAGGATCCGTTTTTGGAGGGAGGGGGCTGAAGCCAGGAGACCAGGGAGGACTAACAGCTCCTCCACAGGGCTACTGAAGACCGAAAGGAAACCTGCCTAAAGGCACCCAGCAGGAGTGCCTGGGGGGGCTCAGTCCGATAAGCCTCCATTAAACCTCTGGCTCTTGGTTGCATCTCTGGCCGTGAACTCATGAGTCATGATCTCATCCGTGGTGAGATCAAACCCTGCGTCAAGAGATCACATTCAACAGGGAGTCTGCCTGGGATTCTCTCTCTCCCTCTGCCCACCCCCTACCCTCGAATTAATAAATAAATCTTAAAAAAAAAAAAAAGGCACCCAAGCAGTAAGAAACCGACACGGGAGTAGAATCAGACCTCCACTCACTGACTCACAACACTCACCTGTGCCAAGCACAGTAGTTTGCAACCTCTTTTCACTGACGAGCTCTCATTAATTTCTCACAACGACTTTGACCTGTCTGTTCCCAGACAAGGAACTGGCCTCAGAGAGGGTGTGAATGGGTGGAGGAGTCAGTGGCGAGCCTGGGTTCCTCCGAGCACCCAGGGGCGGTCTCTTGCACAGTCACAAGACCTGGAGGCTGGTACCCACCCTAGGCATCAGGTAATCTTGGCGATGGCCACCACATTCTGAGTCCCTACCGTGCTCCAGTACGGGTCTGGGTGCTTTGCACTCAGTCTCTAACAGCAGTGGAGGACCCGGGGACTCAGAGCTAAGCTGGAGCTGCTCTGGCAGCCCCATTCACTGTAGTGACTGAAGGGACTACACGGTGCTGTGCAATCCAGCCAACCCCACCTAGCCCAAACAGGATTAGAGAACTCCAGGTCCGGGGCGGGGGGTGGGGGACATGAGGAGACTGTAGGTAGAATGTGGGCCTCCCCCACCCCCCCACCACATCCCCCCACCCACCGTGTCCCCACATCACCCTCCCGTCCGCGTCCCCCCTTCCCTATCCCCATCACCCCTGGGTTTCTCCATAGTCCGTCTCCTCCTCCTCTTCCCCCTCCCCTCCTCCAAATACCCCCTCCCTCTCGGGACCCCCCGCCCCTTCCCAGCGTCACCCCTCCCGTCCCACCTCGTCCACCCCTCCGCTCCAGCCTGCATTTTCCGCGCCGCCGAGCTGGGGGAGGGGCTCCCTGAGGGCGCCCCGCCCCGCCCCTCCCCGGGGCCCCGGCGCCGTCGGCGGGCCAGCCCCCCCCCACAGCGGCCGGCCTGCGGGGAGGGAGGGCCGCCGGGCCGAGAGGCACCTGGGCGCCCCGGAGCCAGCCGCCGCCGCAGCGTCGCCCGCGCGCCCCCGGCCATGTCCTGGGCCCTGCTGCTCGGGCTGCTGGGCGCGCTGCTGGTGCTGCTGCTGCTGAGCCGTCGGCGCACGCGGTGAGTCCCCGGCCGCCCGCCGCGCCGCCCGCGCGAGCGCCGCCCGCGGGGGTCCCGAGCCGCGCCGGCCGTCGGGGCGAAGGGCTCCGGGGCCAGTTCCGCGGCCCCACCTCGCGGAGGGCGCCCGGCCGGGCCGCCGCGGCGGGAGGCTCCAAGTGAGGACGAGACGAGGGAAGTGGGGCGACGGCGTGGGGGACCCGGCCTATGGCTCCCGGCGCACGGCGCTCGGCCGGCACCTGCGAAGGGCCCTCTGGGGAGAGAGCCCGGGGTCTCCGGGTGGGGCGTGGGTGCGGGTGCGAGAAGCCGCCTCCTTCTCTTCAGCCTCCGCCTGGATCCAGCACCCCTCGAGCCAGTCCCCAGCCTCTGCCGGCTCTTGGGGGGCGGGGGGGGAGGGAACCTCGCTCTTCGCCCCATTGCACAGATGCACGAGTTGAGGCTGGGAAGGCAGAGGCCCTGAAGGATGCTCTCTTATCCGCTCTGGAACCACTTTCCAGGGGATCCCCCTTCGTCGACGAGGGGTTCGGTAGGCTCGGATCCAGAAAGGGGTCTCCCCTCCCCTGAGACCCCACAGCCTGGCAGGGCAGAACCGAGGCCAAACGTCTCAGCTTCCTCGTCCCAAAGGTTGTCCTGCTCTGCTATTTAGGAGATGTAAATCTCATGTATCTCAAATCAGGGACATGGCAGTAGGTCCTTCTTTTTATAAAACATTTAAAATATTAATTTGAATCGCACATGGAATAGCTCAGTACGTTTGACTTAAATATTTGTGCTGTTACAGATAAGACTGAAGCCCTTCCCTTCCCTTCCTGCAATTCCAAACTTCTTTTGTTGATCAAGGCTCCCTCATAGGGCTGCCTGAGAGCAAGCCTGGCGGGGAAATTTCCAGGTTTTTTTAAAAGTACGCTTTTTATTTTAGACTGGTTTTATATTTACGGAAAAGTTGCAGAGGTTGTACAAAGAGTTCCCAAATACCCCTCGTCCAGTTTCTGCCGTTGTTAACACTTTACACTATTGTGGTAGGTTCGTCAAAACTTAAAACCAACACTGGTCTGTTAAGATCAACCAAACTCCAGACTTAATTTGAACTTCGTCAGTTTTTCTATCATGTCCTCCAGGATCCAATTCAGGGTACCACACTGCCTTTAGTTATCATACCTCCTCCATGAGGCTGTAGATAATACAGGGCATGAAAGGAGAGTGTCTAAAAATTCCAGAACGTTTCTGGGAACTTTTTATTTTTAAACAATATATGTTAATTTTCCAAACAATAAGCTCATGATATTTGTCTTCAACCTCTGGACACCTTTTCAGGTTAGATTTAAAACTATGTATTCATTCATTTGCCTGAAAAAAAAATGAGACAAAGAAAAAGGCCACACATAAGTTTTTCTATGAGAAATGAATTATTCTTCGGATGTGGTCAGGCTTTTTGGAAACTCAGTCTGGAAATGTTTTCAGACTGTGCATTTGCTTTTTTCACTCCAGATTTTAGTTTTGATATCCGTCCGTGTTGCTATATGGGGATCTGATTCATTCTTTTGATCGTCTGTGTAGTATTCCGTAGTATGAATAAATGGAAGGTTTTGTTTTTTCCTTTTTATTCCTGTCCCAGTTGATGGACTCTTAGGTTGTCTCCAGCGGTTTTGCTGTTTGGGACAAAGTGCTATGGTCTTCCTATGAGACCCGCTGCTACCCACTCTGGGGTAGACTGGGCAGCCATGAACTACATGGATTCTGGGAGGCAGGGTCCCTGGATGCTCAGCATATGGAAATTCTCAGCCTCTAGGAATAAGAACAACCTGAGCAACCTCTCTCTGCCTTAGTTTCCCATTCTTTAAAATGGGGATGATGATGGGAATAGGAGAGAGTGGAATTGCGGGGTTGGAAAAAAAATGCCAGTTAAACATATGGCAAATTCTTGCTATAGCCAGGAGAGCGAATTTATCTTTGAGGGTGGGTTGTTGATTTTTATACCTGGTGGCTTAGGAGGGTCAGCAAGTGGGTACTGGGGAGAAGTGTGGGTATAGGGGTCACTGACAGCTCAGGGGCAGCTGGGTGGGCCCTGGGGAGATCCCACGGGGACCCCAATTTAGGCACCAATCTCATTTCCTCCTCCCAACTCAGCAGGGGCCACTCTTGTTCCTTCCATTTTACGGAGGAGGAAACTGAGGCTCAGAGAGGCTAAGCAACTTGTGCAGGGTCTGCCTGGATTACAAATCTGGGCTGTAAGAATTTTTAATTCCCAGGAAAAACGAATTTCCTTGCTTCCCACACAGTTTATTTGTAATCTGAACACTCGAAAGTCTTAGAACCACATGATGTTAAGATAGTAAGATGTGGCTGTAACCACAAAGTTCCTAAGGAAGGACAAATAATCAAGTGTTGGAAAAGAGGTGGAGGATGCTGATGCTGTGTAGACAGTGAGCCAATCTGAGTCAAACAAGGAAGGCCCCACACCTTCCCTTCTGCTCACTGACCCTCGAGGTACTGTTCATCACTCCGTTTTACAGCTGAGACCTACAAGGGCTAGGTGACCTCCTCAGGGCCACACAGAAATTATATTCCGCATCTAGCCGGTTCCAAAATTCATGCTTTTCTCAGTAAAAAGCAAAAAGAAAAGAAAACTACTTGAGTCAATTGGCAGCTGTCTTTACCTCTAGCTTTTTTTAAGTTAAAATTTGTAATTATGAAAAATTTCAACTACGCAGAAAAATAAGAATAGTGTAAGAACCCCCATGTATGGATCCCCTTTTGATTTGACAGCATTTTTACAAAAAATTACAGATGTTACAATATCTCTGCAGGAAATATTTCAGAATGCGTGTCAAAAACAACCACGGTTCTATTATTTTGCCTGAGAATATAAAATTCCTTTTTTTTTTTTTTAAAGATTTTATTTATTTATTTGACAGAGACCCAGCGAGAGAGGGAACACAAGCAGGGGGAGTGGGAGAGGGAGAAGCAGGCTTCCCGCTGAGTAGGGAGCCCGATGCGGGGCATGATCCCTGGGATCATGACCTGAGCCAAAGGCAGACGCTTAACGACTGAGCCACTCAGGCACCCTAAAAATTCTTAATATCATCTAGTCTCCAGTCCAAATTTCTGCAGTTACAGCAAGGATTTTTAAACCCAGCTCGGTAACTGTGACTGTCTTCTGGGAGAGGTTGTGAGCCAAAATCAGGAGGCCTTGGGTTGTGAATTAGGAGTCTGATTTCTGTGCCCATTGGGGCTCATGACCTACATGTGGGTGTCAGAAACATTCTTCCTGCTTTCCTTTTGGGCCTTGGTTTCTCCATCTGTACCCTGAGATGGCTCATGGAGCTGGTCTCCTGTGATGTGGGCGGAGGACATCTCTCTTCCTTTTTTGGGCTTGTGTGTCTGCTACTCTAGGAGCATTTGGAAGAGGTCTCCAGGTGGGAGGCCCCTGTTCCAGGGCACCAGAGGCCACCGTGGCATCAGGTGAAGGTTCCTGGTGGCCCAAGGACTGATCTGGGCCCTTGAGGGATACAAAATTTCCAGGCACAATTAGATCTATCTCATTCCAACATGCACTGCCAAATGGTGGTCCACGGCCGGATTCAGCACAAATGAAGGGCTGCTGTGTGCCACACGGTGCAAGAGGAGAAAATTGGGGGCGGGGGGTTCCACCCATAAAACTCCACACTTCCAGCTTCTCGTGAAAGATGGGACAATGGAGCAGCACCTGTGGGGGACTCAGTAGAAGAGCCTTCTCTCAGCCTGGCCACAGTCCCCACCGCTCCTTGTTGCCTCCCTGATGTGCATCTGTTCTATCTACTGTCCTTGCTCTGACTGTTCTTCATTATGTTGAGAATTCTCTGAACCTTTGGTGTCGGTTACAAAAACAGGAAAACAAAAACCAGAGCAAAATGGCCACATGCTTTCTCTACACAGTGGGAGGCGAGGGGCAGGGGGTGGGAAGCCAGAGAGTGTTAATGGCAGACAGCTTGTGGGTGGGCCCTGGGAAAGGATGGGTCTAGCACTTTAAATGGAAGCTCAGGTTGCTGAAACAAGCCTCCCTGTTGTCCCCCCATGAAATCCTCCCAGAGCCCAAGGCTCTGAATTGAGGTGAAACTACTGGATAGAGAGGCAGTCCACCAAGATAGCACAGCTAAATGATGCAGCCTCTGCCCTGGGCAATCCAGAGTCCCTTAACCCCCTCAGCAACTCTGGGGGGCAGGTGCTGCTCCTTGAGCACCAACTGTATACATGAATCATTCGTCTGACATGTATTTATTAAACACCTACTCGTGCCAGGCACTGTTGTAAGTGTCGGGGTCAACAACAGGTGCCTACATTCATGGAACTTCCATCCCCTGTAGGTGTGCTATTTCAGGACAAAAAGGGGGGGTGATACCCATCCTTAACTCCCTCCCCCGATTTGCAGCGCGTTGAGTGGGAGAGAGACGGGACAGGTGGTGAAGGTGGCAATGGAGTCTGTGAGTGAGGCGTGGGCAGTTTGGGGAGGAACCCATGTGATGGGAATTAAAACTCTGGGGGGGCGGGGATCAGAAAAGGTGTCCTGGAATCTGAAACAGGAAGGGCAGGCTGTTGTGGGCAGGAGCTGGGGATGAGAGGGTCCAGCCCTCCCCTCCTCCTCCCCCGGGCCTGGCAGTGCCTCAAAACAGTGAGAGTGTCAGCGGGTGAGGCTTGAGACCGCAGACCCCAAAATAGAGCCTCCTTCATCCCCGCTGGCTGACGGCTGAGTCACCCTGGAATGTGGCCTGGGCCCGAGCTGGATCCAGGACCCAGCCTCCAGGAGCCAGCGCGACCACATCAGCAGTCAGACGCCTGGGCTCCCAGCTTCCTGCCTTTGTCTGAGCCTCCTTGGGACTTTTCTGGGGAACGATGAAAGCTGCCAGAAATAACACCTGGCTCATTGGGGAGTTCTGGCAGCAACCTGGACAAAGAGCAAGGAAAGGAAGCTCTAGTCCTGCCCATACCGCCAAAGGTGTCTTAGGGGGGGAAAGCCCCCTGTCCTGGAAGCCGGGGGGTCGGATGCTGACGTTGCCTCCGCTTCCATTGTTGCTCCCCTGGATGATCACGGTGGTCTCTGTGTTGGGGCTTTTCAAAAGCACAACTACATCACTTCCCAGCTCCCACTTCCAACCCTCCAGGGGCTCCCCCTGGCACCCCGTGTGGAAGCCTGACCCTGGCCACGGGTCATGTCCTGCCTCTCACCCCCACACTCTCCACTCCGGCTATGCTGGCTCCTGCTGTCTTGAAAGCCTCGAAGGCATGCTCCTGCCCCAGGGCCTCTGCACTTGCTGTTCCCACTGCCTGAAATCCTCTTCTCCCCCCTCTTCCATTGCACTCCCTTCTCATCCTGCTGGTTTTTGCTCACGTGGCGCCTCCGTGGGGAGGCCTTCATGGACTCCTTCTCTAAACCAGCCCCCCTCACTCTGTCCCGTCACCCTTCTTTTTTCTTTACTGACCTATAGTTTGCATACTCTAACATTCCCCCTTTTAAAGTATCCAGCTCAGTGGGTTTTAGAATAGTCACAGGTTTGTGCCACCATCACCACTGCTTAACTTCAGGATATTTTCTGTCATCCCCCAAAGAAATTCCATCCCCGTTAGCACTCACTCTGCGTTCTCCCCTCCCCTCAGCCTCTGGCAACCACTAATCTACTTTCCATCTCTATGGAGGTGCCTTTTCTGGACATTCCAAAGAAATAGATCACACAATATGTGACCTTCGGTGTCTGGCTCCTTTTACTTAACATGGTTCTGAGGTTATCCGCACTGTAGCGTGAATCATTACTTCATTCCTCTTTGTGGCTGAAGAACGGTCCATGCCTTGGGCATACAGTATTTGGTCTGTCCATTCGTCAGTCGATGGACACTTGGTTGGCTCCATCTTTTGGCCACTATGAATGATGCCACCATGAACAATAGTGTACAGGTTTGTACATGAGCTTATGTTTTCAGCTCTTTGGGCTGTATTGCTGGGTCGTAAAGTAACTCTGTTTAACCTTTCAAGGAACTGCCAGGCTAGTTTCCAAAACAGCTGCACCATTTTACTTTCCCACCAGAAATACAGGAGGATTTCTGTTTCTCCACATCCTTGCCAGCGGTTACTTTCCTGGGTTTGTTTTTTGGTTTTTTTTTTAGATGATAGCCATCTTGGTGTGAAGTGGTACCACCCTGTGGTTTTGATTTGCGTTTCCCCAGTGCCTCAGGATGTTGATGGCCATTTGTACCTCTTCTTTAGGGGACTGTCCATTCAAATCCTTTGTGTATTTTAAAATTGGGTTGTCTTTTTTCTTTTTTTTTAAGAGAGAGCGAGAGTGAGCAGGGGGAGGGGCAGAGGGAAAGGGAGAGAGAGAATCCCAAGCAGGCTCCACACCCAGCATGGAGCCTGAAGTGGGGTTCAATCTCGTGACCCTGAGATCTATGGCCCTGAGATCACAACGTGAGCCAAAATCAAGAGTGGGATGCTTAACTGACTGAGCCACCCAGGGACCCCTGGGTTATTTGTCTTTTACAGCTCCTTTATCTTCTTTATCACACTTCCCACTCCCTGAAATGATTTTGCTTTTTGGGGGGTTTTGTCTGCCTCCCCCTATGAGTATGGAAGCCCTGTGAAGTCAGGCACCTCGCCTCTCCTGTTCACTGCTGTATCTCCAGCACACAGAGCAGTGCCTGCTTCCTAGTTAATATTTGGTGAGCGAGTGCGGAGAACTCCACTGCTGCTTCCTTCCTTGTACTACTGAGTTCTAGAAAGCTCTCCCACCCACAAGGACTCCCTAACATGTACCAACACCAGCTTCTGCTCTTGGCCTCCTGTAATCCATCTTCTACTCAGCAGCCAAAAGGATCCTGTAAAAAAAAAAAAACCTAAGTCAAATCATGTCCCTGTGCTACTCGAAACTCTCCCCTGGCTCCCACCTTACTCAGGGGAGAGGCTAACGTCCTCACAGCTGCCTCCAAGGCCCTGCATGGTCTGGCATCCATTACCAGTCTGGCCTCAGCTTCTGCTGTTTCTCCTTGCTCCCTCCAATCCAGCCACACTGGCCTCCTTACTGTTCTAGGAACACACCAGGCATGATGCAGCCTCAGGGCCTTTGCGCTGTTCCTTCTGCCTGGAAGGCTCTTCTTCCAGATATCTATGTGGCTCCTTCCCTCACCACCTTCAGGTCTTTCTCAAATATCTCGGGGAAGCCTGCTCTATCCTCTCTACTTAAAAATTACACCCTATGCCCTACACTTTTTGTCTTCTTCCCTGCTTAATCAAATGGTGATGAGTACTGTGGCTTCTCTAGGCGACCTGGCGAGCCTCCCCTGGACTTGGGCAGTATCCCCTGGTTGGGCCATGCCTTGGAGTTTGGAAAAGATGCGGCCAGCTTCCTCACTAGGATGAAGAAGAAGCATGGTGATATCTTTACTGTAAGTGTGTCCTGTGCCTCTAGGGAGGGAAGGGGATGAGCAGCTGGGCCGGTCATACCTGGTGTTCACAGATTCCTTCTACATCCTTCTTTTAGTTTATATACTAACCCACCCATCCAGTGGCCCAACCAACTTTCTATCCATTTTTCCATCCAGCTGTACAGCCAGCACTTAATCAACATCCATCCCTTCATTATCCCTTTAGCATCTTCCCAACATCAAGTCATTCAATGTCTGTCCAGTTCTTGTATGTCCATCCAACCAACCTCTATCCATCCATTCAACTTCCATCTACCCAACATCCATCCATCCAACATTTATCCTTCTGCCTGTCTACTCAATATATAAGCAGCATCCTTCCATCCTAATATCCACTGAACACACATTCATACATTCCATTTTCATCAAAATTCTATCCACTCATCCATCATTCCATATATCTATCCAACATCTGTCCATCCATCCATTTATCCATCATCCAACCCTTTGTCTACTCATATTTATCCAGCATCCTTCCATTCATGTACTTAACATCTATCCAGTTTTTACCCATATATTCAATATCTTTTTTTTAAATTAGCCTCCCTACCCGTGTGGAGACCGGTGCGGGGCTTGAACTCACGACTGTGAGATCAAGACCTGAGCTGAGATCAAGAGTCGGGCAGTTAACTGACTGAACTCCCATATGTTCAGTTTCTACCAATTTCCATTTATCTACCCATCTTTCCATCCTTCTGCCACTATGCACCTAACATCCAGTTACCTATCCATTCAGTATCCAATATCTGTCCACTCTATATGCATCTATTTATATCTCCATCCATCCATCCATCCCTTCAACATCCAAACAACCACCACATCCATCCGCCTTCCATGTGTCCTTTCAAGTTCCGCCCATGCAACATTCATCCTTCAATCCTTTTACCCAGTACCCACTGAGCATCCTGCCATCATGTACCCAATATTCATCCATACTTTTAGTTTCCAACTAACCTTTAGCTACTCGTCCATTCATCTTTCCATCCAACATACATTCACTGATGATATCCTTCTGTTTACCCACCCATCTAACAGTCTGTTCAGTAGCATTTTTTTCTTGGATATTGGCCTGTATTTTAAAGATTTATTTATTTTAGAAGGTAGGGGTGGGATAGAGGGAGAGGGAGAGAGGGAATCAGCACGGAGCCCGATGTGGGGCTCGATCTCACGACCCTGAGATCATGCCCTAATGGCCTGTATTTTATAAGAGAGTTTGATTAATGTGACTCCCAGATCACACTTTGGGGCCAAGGCAGTGCGTGGTTAGGATTGTGTGACCCCCCCCAACAGACATTTGAGGGAAGATGCCCTTTCCTTTACTAATTGCAGGCTTACAGCTCTCCACTGCTGTTTCCTTCCTTCTTGGGCAGCAGGTTACATTCAGAGCTCAGGCTCCCTCAGAAGCAGGTATTGCTGGTACAGCTGCTAGCATTAACCCAACAGTGTCCGTCCATCCATCCGTCCGTCCGTCCGTCCGCCCACCCGTGATGCACACAACATGCACCTGCTGCCTTCTGTGGGCAGACTCTCTCCTGGATGCCGGCGAGAAGGCAGTGATCAAGATAATAATGGGAGGTGGTTGAGAGCACAGCCTTCGGCGCAGAAAAGCAAACGCCAGTCCTCACTCTGCCGCGTCTCCGCTGCGTGATCTCGGGCACATTACGTGCCTTCTCTAAGCCTCCGTTTGCGGCCATAAACGGTCCCTCCCTCGTAGGGTCATCATGATGGGTGGCTGAGAGAACATTGTCTGTGAAGTGTCTGGCACAGGGTGGGCCCCCGACCCCCGAGAGCTGTCATTTGTAGCAGCTCTCCTCACTCCATCCCTGCTGACTTCCCGCAGGTGCTGGTGGGCGGCAGGTATGTCACCGTGCTCCTGGACCCGCACTCCTATGACGCGGTGGTGTGGGAGCCTCGCACCAAGCTGGACTTCCACGCCTATGCTGTCTTCCTCATGGAGAGGATTTTTGATGTGCAGCTCCCACATTACAGCCCCAGTGATGAAAAGGCCAAGATGAAACTGTGAGTGGCTGGAGACGGTGCCTGAGGGTGGCCAGGGAGGGGCCAAAAGAATTGGGCTGAAGAAAGGTTCCTCTCACCTTTATTCCTTTTAGGAGGCAGGTCTGATTTCAGTAGGAGGAGACTGGGGCTTGGGTCAGCCAGACCTGGATTCAAATCCCAGCCCTACCACTTCCTAGCTGTGTGACTTTGGGCAAGTCCCTTGCCCTCTCTGAGCCTCTGTTTCCTCATCTGTAAAAGGAAAGGAAGTGGGTGGGGGGGTTAATATTTTTGAGTCCATATTCTGTGATCTCATTAGTTTTCCCAGTGATGCTGGAGGGTAAGCTACTCACAGCTCTGCTTTATGGCTGAGGATACTGGGACCCAGAGAAGAGCAGTGACTTGCCCTAGGTCACACAGCAAGGAAGTTAGCAGGTCCTGAAACATAAGGAGGAATTATATCAACAAGAGGATATGTGAGCACATTTATTCTGCAATCATTACGTCTGTAAATATCTGAGGACCTACTATACGCTAGTCACCGTCTAGATGCCGGGGGTGCAGAATGATGCCAGTCACTATTTCAAGACACCTACCATATGCCGGGGATTTGATAGAAATACTTTGCTATCTGTGCTGTTGCCTCAAAAGTGTAGGTACTTTTATCCCTATTTTACAGTTGAGGAAACAGACTCAGGGAAGTGGAGTGAGTTACCCACGGTCCACCATTAGTAGATGGCACCCCTGAGATTTGAACCCAGGTCTGCAAACTCCACAGCCTAGTCTCCTCCAGCTGATGTACTGAGGAAATAAGACTCTGGGTCTGCTCCTGGAGTTCATGCAGTCTGATGGTAATTCTTAGTGGTCCGTCTCCAGGAAGGGTAACCTCCCGGGGCTAGGAAAAGCATCTAGAAGACTGGGTTTTGGGCGCCTGGGTGGCTCAGTTGGTTAAGCGACTGCCTTCGGCTCAGGTCATGATCCCGGAGTCCCGGGATCGAGTCCCGCATCGGGCTCCCTGCTCAGCGGGGAGTCTGCTTCTCCCTCTGACCCTCCTCCCTCTCATGCTGTCTCTCATTCTCTCTCTCGCAAATAAATAAAATCTTAAAAAAAAAAAACTATTAGAAGACTGGGTTTTGCAGGGCTGCTAAAGCTGAGGAAAGGCCAGAGTATGAGGTGAACATCAATGAGAGACAACGCCCAATCTGACCTTGGCTTTGTGGGGTCACCTCTAGGAATATTTCTGAGCCCGAGTGTCCTGGGTCCTGGCATTCTAGGGGGACCATCAGGTCCCATTAGCAATAAGAATCCCCAGGTCACTGCATTCTGCCCCCCATACCCAGGGAGGACTCCACTTTCCTCCAGTGTCTGCCCTAAGAGTTCCTGGGAATTTCCCATCAGCCAGTATGTGGTCTTCTGGGCATGGCTCCCACATCTGTTAAGGGCTGCTGTCTCCATCGAGGACTAGTGCTTGGAGTGGGGTCTGGGGAACCGCTGGATCAGGGTCAATCGCTACACCAGGTCCCATTTATTGAGCACTTACAATGTGCCAGGCCCTGCGATAAGCCCTTTTACTTACCCATTATCTCACGTGGGTCATGTCTGTTTGTTTCCCCAACAACGTTTCAACTTGAACATCCAAGAGCTTATATTTCCTGGGAGTTCGTGGAACCCTTCTGGAGGCTTTCCCCTCTTGAGTTATCCTAGAACCGGGTGGTTTTCTCCCTCTACAGGGGTCCATCCTGTTTCCAAACAGCAGGTGGGGCCAGAGAGCTGGGTCGGCAGGCTAGCACTGTTCTCGGGGCTGCCGCGAGGTGTCGCTGTTGGACGTTGGTTCCGCTGTGGCGCGGGGACACCGTGTGCTTGCTGCCGCGGGGCCTTTCCTGGTCTAGATCCCTGCACGTGCTCCAAAGTGGCCTTCACCTCAGATGCAAGATCCCACCTTTGTGGGCTTCCAGTCACATGCTCAGTCATGGCTCAGCGTCGACTCTGTATTGTGGAGGCTCGGTATGGAGGGACTTCCGCTTCAGCCGCACGCACTGCCAGACTCCTAGGCACACGCAGTGACACCAGGTCGCCAGCCCAGACGACCTCATTCCTCATGTCGCCTTCACTCAGGGTCACGTCTTAGCGGTCCTTGGTCGGGGGATGCTTTATCCAAACAGGTGTCCCTAACTTTGGGTCTCAAGGACAAAGAGTTGGCTTGCTAGTTCTCTCTCTTCCAGAAGTGTGTGGGTTCCTTATCCGAGCTTGCGTGTCCCGAGGAGGGACAGACTGTCACGGTTGGGGGTTCAGACTCTGGGGTTGGGCGGACCAGGGTTTCAATCCCAGCTGCATCGCTTACTGGCTGTGTGACCTTGGGAAAGTCACGTTCTTCCCTGTCCCTGAGTTTCTCTGCCGCTAAAATGGGTGGCATATTGTAACTGTGATCCCTAGAGTTGTCAAAGGATGAAATGAGATCATGGTGCTTGGCACAATAAAGAGCAACTGCCGTTGTCACTGATGATGGTAGTAACGATAATAATATTACCGAGTTTAGGCCAGTTGTCCGCAGGCCCCCATTGGCAACGGGGAACCGGAGCCCTGGGAGGTTTAGGGATGGCGGGCGCCTGTGTGCATGTGTTTCCCTTTGGAGGCTGTACCCTTACTTTGTTCCCTGCCCTAGGACCCTCCACAGGGACCTCCAGGCACTCACGGACGCCATGTATACCAACCTCCGCACCGTCCTGCTGGGCGACACCACAGAAGAGGCCGGTGGCTGGCGTGAGATGGGTCTCCTCGATTTCTCCTACAGCTGCCTGCTCAGGTGAGCCAGGGTGGCTCCCCCTCTCAGGGGTGGCGCCCAGCTCTCCAGACCTGGGTCAGCCGCTAACAGTGGCCACGGGAACCACGAAGACTTTGTGGGTGGGGCAACAGTTTGGGACACGCAAAGCAAAGACTACAAATGACCTGTTGTATCTGGGACCCAGGTGTTCGCCTGGCTCAGGCTGAGTTGTAAAGGAGGCATGGATCAGGGAGGTGGGCCTTGCCAGGTGTCCAGAGATGGGGTAGCAGAACGAGGTTTTAGAGACCGTCTTGTCCTGTGGCTTCCAAGCCTTGGACTTCACAGACCAGGAAAGCACAATGTTTGGGAGACCAACCCAGGACTTGAACTTTTTATCAGATCTTGTAAACTTAGATTACAAACTGCGCCACCCAGTGTCCCTTCCTTCGGCAGCGGCAGACACGATTCCAAGCACCGGGCACACAGCAGGGGAAAGACAATGACCCGAAACTCACAGAGCTAACACGAGTCGGAGAGACCGATCATAAGCCAATAAATAAAGATGGATATGTCTGAGAGTGGCAAATATGGCAGCAGAGATCAGCAGATGGGGCAACAGTGCCTACGGGGCTCTTCTAACCAGACTGAAAAGGAGGGCTTCCCCAAGGGTCTGGCCTCAGACTTGGGGGCTGGCTACAGATGTCCCCCATGCCGAGACTGTAGACATAGGAGCCTGCAGGGGCAGAGTGGCGGAGGTAGGAGGACGCGTGACCAGAGGACCACTGTGGCTGAGCCTAGCGAGCCGAGGCGGTGGGGTTAAGATGAGGTCAGAGCACTTGGCTTTCGGAAACCGGGTCTCACAGAGCCTCAAGGCCGGGAAAGGCTTTGGAATTTATTCTAAGTAAGATGAGTGACACTGGGGGTTTGGGCAGAGGCGTGACAGGATTGGGCTTGGGGTTTAAAGCTGTCTTTGGCTGCGGACAGAGACTAACCTTGGCGGGGGGCTTGTTAGGAGGCTGTTGACGTAGCCCAGGTGAGAGAACAGGAGCCTGGACCCGGAGGTGACCGGGAGATGGCAACAAAGGGGTAGCTCTGGGGGCGGAGTTGGCAGGACATGCTGAGGATTTGATGGGGCGGGGTGGGCAGCATGGGCACAGTGGGATGGGAAAGAGCAAGAAGGACAGCCGCGGATCTCTGGTGGTGCCGTTAACTGGCCAGCATTTCAGAAACCAAAGGCCATTTCAACTGCTTCACAAAAGCTAGAGACAGAGTTTCAGAATAAAGGACAGGCATTCGCTGACACAGATGGGCACACAGGTACATTTATGACACCTACATATGTGCTCACATGTAGGCTTAATGTGCGTTAACACTTCTCACCCTCGCAACAGCTCCACGAGACTGGAACTTTACAAACCCCATTTGACAGATGAAGAAACTGAGGCCCGGAGAGCCTAAGGCATTTGCCCAGAGTCGCATCATTTGGGGTCATGGCGGGGCTGCCTGTAGAGCCTACACTTTTTTTTTTTTAATAAAGATTTTATTTAGGGGGGCCTGGGTGGCTCAGTCGTTAAGCGTCTGTCTTCAGCTCAGGTCATGATCCCTGGGTCCTGGGATCGAGCCCCACATTGGGCTCCCTGCTCAGCGGGAAGCCTGCTTCTCCCTCTCCCACTCTCCCTGCTTGTGTTCCCTCTCTCGCCGTGTCTCTCTCTGTCAAATAAATAAATAAATAAAATCTTAAAAAAAAAAGATTTATTGATCGATTTGAGAGACAGGGAGCGTGAGCAAGCGGGGGGAAAGTCAGAGGGAGAGAAAGAATCTCAAGCCAACTCCACGCTCAGCGTGGAGCCCGACATGAGGCTCGATCCCACGACCCCGAGATCATGACGAGATGAAATCAAGAGTCAGTCACCCAGCCACTGAGCCACCCAGGTGGCCCTGCAGAGCCTGCACTTTCAAGCACACCTTTGCTGTGTAAGTGGTCCGCATTTTTCTCCTGTCACCCTGGAGTGGTGCAAACACCATCAGGGCTGTAATTCATCTGGGTGATGCTGGTCCACTCCACCCCGTCATTGTGGGATCGGGGAGACTGAGGTCCAGAGAGAAGCAGCTAAAACCACACAGCAAGTTCATAGCAGGGCATCTCCCATGTCCCCTGGCTCCTGTCACCCTATGTCCTTGTGTGAGAAAAAGAAGTCAGGGAGGAGGCTGTGGCATTGGGAGGGAGTGGGGATGATGTGGTGGCAGCCGGGTCCGTTTACGCCCTTGGTAACAGCCACGTGTGTATGTGGGGGTGGGGAGGGTCACGTGTAAATGGATCCCTGTGTCTTCAGGATCTGAGGCCTGGGATGGAGCTTCTGTTTCCTGGCCTGGTGGACTTGGCCTTTTTAGTGCCATCTGCAGCCCCTGAGATAGGAAGGGAATGAGTGAGTTGGATGACAGGAGGTGCAGGCTCGTGTGTCCCCGAACCATGAGATGCCACCACTTACACCTTCCAACCCGTCCTACGGCACTCCTGCCTCACTCACAGTCCCATCAAAGTTCTAACCCTGGCTACAGGATCCTGCCTCATCAGCCCCAGCCCAGCACATTCCTGCCCCAAGGCCTTTGCACTTTCTGTTCCCTTGCCTGAGAATGCTGTTCCCTGCATGTCTGCATGGGTCTTGCCTCACTTCATTCACCTGTCAAGTGATAACCTCCTCAGAGAGGCTCTCCTGACACCCCAGTTAATAGGACAGCCCCCTCTCTTTACCCAGCTCCATGCCAGCTTATTTTTCTTCCTGGCTCCTAGCACCACCTACAGGTCATGTGTGTTTACGCACCATGATTTATTCTGTCTTCCGCCCTGTCCTGTGTCACTTTGATGTGCAGGTGCCACGGAAAGGACCCTCACTTCCACAGTGGGAAACCTCATGGCCTTCTTGGGTTTTATATGGTTTATTTTTCATTGCTTATTTTTCATAGAAATATATATATATACACACACACACACAGGGAAATGGTTCTCTGCCTTAAGGAAAACACTGATGCAAATGGGACCAGCGACCACAGGGCTGGCTGACCCAGCTTGTTCCTGGATAAGGGGGGCAGCTGTGACTCCCTGGCTGCCCAGGGTTACCAGGTGGGACTGCAGGCTCGGGGGGCAGGGGGGAGATTCCTTTTTCAAGATGAGATGAGGGGGCATCCAGATTTTGTGTGGTTTTCCCAGTTGTTCAGTTTGTTCATAGGAAAACTCTCTTCACCAAACCAAACACGTTGGTGGACTGAATCCAGTTTGTGAGTTGCACCTTTACAACTCTGCCGTAAGGAAACTGGGGGCACTGGTATGGAGAACAGGGCCCCAGGGCCTCATGTGACTGGAGGGGCAGGGGGACAAGGACGATGCAGAGGCTCAGGTATGGCCCTGGGAGGGTCCGCTGTTTGGAGGGAAGAGTTGCTGCCTTATGCAGTGGGATGGGCAGGTCGTGAGCTCTCCGTCTCTGTGGGGCATGGAAGCCAGGCCAGATGAGGGTAAGGGATGCAGGGGAAAGGGGGCATAGTAGTAGTCTGGGTGACCGAGCTCGAAATCATGATGACCCTGTAGTTTCTCCCAAGATCAGTGTTCTCAGGATCAAATTCTAATCATCCATCCACCCACCCTCCCTCTCTCCCGTCCCTCCATCCATCCATCCATCCACCCACCCACCCACCCATGCACCCATCTATCCACACACCCTCCAATCCCTCCGCCTATCCCTCCATCGAACATTGATTGAAGATCTGCTGGAGCCTGCACTGCACAGATGAGGGACAGAGTGGAACTAGACAGGCCTCTCTTGGCCCCCACCCTCCCTCATTCCAGCTTCCACCCTCTCCTTGGGAAAGTCCCTCTCCTGGGAGATCCAGGGACGAGGAGAAGCTGATGGGGGACAGGTCAGGGCTCCCGTGGCCTCTCTGCAGAGGTCCAGCCCCTCCCACCACATGGAAAAAGTGAAAACCTGTGGTTTTTCTCCCAGGACCGAGGCCAGTGGGGCTGGGCTCTTGGAGCAGTTACAAATGGCTGGTGGTGAAAACATTTTCTTTAAGAGCATTCCTGTGGGCAGTGTGTGTGTGCGTGTGCACGAGGGTTCATGCTTCCTCCTGTGTCTCATCCTTTGTCCATGCCCCGCCACGCCCTGTCCTTCCTGCTCAGACCCCCAGCACCCTTCAGGTCCAGCCCAAGCTTCTCCCCACGGCCACCCAGGCCCCTGCCCTGCCCTGCCCTGTGTCCCTGGCCTTGCCAACCCCCTGGCTGTGCTCCGTCCTGTTCCCTCATATTCCAGCTCCAGTGCCTAGACCAGTGACACCTGGCAGCTCTCTGACCAGACCATGCTTGCCCCCTCGGCTCTGAGCCTTGGCCCAGGATGTGCCCTTGGCCCACACCTCTTCTCTCTCCCCTTCTCCCTGCTCACCTCAGACCCTGCCTCCTTCAGGGAGCCTGCCCTGACTCCCTCTCCAGGGGCAGTAGCCTCTTTTCCTGACTGGTGCCTCTGTCTTGCCCTGCTGTCCCCTCAGTCACTCTGTAATGGCCTCATCAGCCTCCTCACTGCTCTTCAACCCTGCATCTCCTTCCTGGCTCAGGATGTTGCCCTGAACCCGCCCCCACCCTGTGCTCTTTGTACTCTGAGCCCCTCCCCATATTCTGAGCATCGGCTGATAGGTCCCTTGTTCCCATTCCTCTACTACCTGCTGTCTGTGTCCCGCATGAGAGGGGCCACTCCCTGAGGGCTTGAGGGCTTTATTTTCTCCACTGCTGACTCCCTAGCCCAAAACAGTCCGGCATAAAGTGGGAAAAGCAGGTGCTCATTAGCTGCATGCATGAAGAAAAGCTTGTAGGCCACTGTGGGAGGGTTTCACCAGGTGTGTCCAAGGAGGACCCCCTGACCCACTGTTTGCCACCTGCAGAGCTGGCTACCTGACTTTGTATGGAGTCGAAGCTCTGCCACGTACCCAGGAGAGCCAGGCCCAGGACCGCGCCCACTCAGCTGATGTCTTCCACACCTTCCGCCAGCTCGACCTGCTGCTCCCCAAACTGGCACGTGGCTCCCTGTCAGTGGGTAAGGACTGTGGGGGGCCATGGTGGGTGGTGTGGCAGACAGAGGGACTCAGGGGGAGCCCACACACCAGCTGAAGGATCACAGACAACCTAGGAGGAAGGACAGTCTCTCACCCTGGGAAGCAGTGAGATCCCTGTCACTGGGCATATGCAAGAACACAGTGGTGGGGGGTAGGGCTCGAGCCAGAGCTGGGGTTCCTGGTAGATACAGCACATCTGCAGTAGGGCCTGGAGACCTCATTGTGGGGTTTATTTATTCTATTTTTAAAGGTTTTTAATACTTTTTTTTCCTGAGGCATAATTTTCATAGAGGAGAGCACACAGGTCCTAAATGCACAGCTGAGAGGTAAATCTAAATGCTTCATGTCCTTTCCCACTCAATATCCACCCCACAGAGGGAGCCACCGTATGGGTTCCTTTCACCTCAGATTAATTTTACCTTTCTTGAGCTTCCCATAAATAGGATCAGACAGTGTGTGCCCTTCTGTGTCTGGCTTCTGTCACTCAACTTCTTGTCTGTCAACTTCGGCCTGGTTGCCGTATGTATCAGTAGTCTGTTTTTGTTGTAGCATAGCATTTTGTTAGAGTGAGGTACCATGATGTTTGTCCGTCCCCTGGTTGATGGATGTCTGGGTCTTTCCCAGTTTGGGGCTGTTGTGAATTAGGCTGTCCTTGTCCATGTCCTTTGTGGCACACGTGCCTTCATTTCTCTTAGTTTTGAGCCTTCCACTCTTAGGACATTGATCTTGCATGTTGAAGGAATTGTTCCGCCACTTAGCATGTTCTTATGGAACCCCACATCTCGAGTATTTCCACTTGGGTTTGTGAAAATCCACCCCATTTATTTTTGTGGCTCCAGAGGGGACTCAGTATTGGTAAAGAGGTTCTGGCAGGATTCAGTACATGGGGCCATGGGAACCACTGGGCTGCACTGTCTTCTGGCCACTGTGTCTCCAGCTACCTAGTGAGAAGAATCCCCTGGGGCCCTTGTTAATGATACAAGTCCCCAGGCTCCATCCCCGTCCAGCTGAATCCAAGTCTCCAGGGAGGCCAGGAAACTGCATGTATGACAAGTGCTACAGGAAGTTTGAGAAATAATGTGCGTCTTGGACTCAGACACTTGTGGCAAAACCTGGATTCAGATCCCTACTGGCAGGCTTCAGCACTGATGACTTTGGGCAAGTTACTTAACTTCTTTTTGCCCCAGGTCCTTTCTCTGGGGGGCAGTTGAAGGGAGTGATTGAGACAGACTCTCAGCTCAGATGGCTCGAGATGGTTTACTGTATCCTATATATTGTCCCTGTGCCTCAGTGATCTCATCTATAAAATGGGGAGAACAATAGGGTCTTCCTAAAGGGTGACTGTTAGGAATGGCTGAGGTAATAAGAAAAAACACTTTTGTGTTGAGCACTTTCTATGAGCCAGATACCAGGTTAAGCGTGATCTCATTCAGTGCTCTCAACAGCTCATGACCCCATTTCCTTTATGTAATTTTTAAAAACCAAACTTTAACACATTAGATTGTTTAAATTAAGAAAAACATTCTCGGGGCACCTGGGTGACTGAGTCAGTTAAGCATCTGACTTCAGCTCAGGTCCTGGGATGGAGCCCCGTGTTGGGTTCAGTGGGGAGTCTGCTTGTCCCTCTCCCCCTACCCCACTCATGCTCTCTCTGTCTCTCTCAAATAAATAAAATTAAAAAAAAAAAAGAAAGAAAGAAACATTCTTGTGGCTAACAATTCAAAGACGTAGACAGTAAGAGTAATAATACTTTCCCAAGCCCAGCTTCCTGTGGAAACCAATGTTAACATGCTGGTATATATCCCTTCACACTGTTTTATAGGAATAGAGTATTTTACAGATAGAGACAAATATACATATTCAGAGTGTCACTGTGTATTTCAGAAAGGGATTATATCTATTGTCTGCGATTCAATTTTTTTTTTTAACCTACCACTATAGCTGTGTATTCTTCCCTGTCAATACAAACATCTTCTAGTGGTGTCAGCCAATGCAATTAGATAAGAGAAATCAACTACTGGTTATAAGAATGGGTAAAGAAGAGGTAAAACTCTCCCTGTTTGCAGAAGATCTGACGCTATGCTGGGAAAACCCCAGGAAATCCATGGTAAAACTAACTCAAACAAAAAAGACTCTAACGAAGTAGAAGGATATAAAATCAACATGCAGAAGAATGGAGACATCTTTGCAGCTCTTGCTTGCCAGTATTTAGGCAGCCTTCCCCCTCCAGTGGATATTTATAATTGTTTTCTTGTTTGTGTGTGTATGGTTAGTATAGTGTTTCATTGTACTTGTATCTTCTCTACCATCTGGTGATTTTATTCCTCTCTGACAGTTTCCTGGAAGTGGGTTTGCCACCTCGAAGGGCATACACATTAAAATTCTGGTTCCCTGCTGCCACATCATTTCCAAAGCCATGGAGCAATTCATAGGCCTGCCCGAAGGGAGGGAGTCTGCTCATTCCCCACCAGATGTTATCAGTCTTTCTATTTGTTTGCCAATCTGATGGGCAGGGGCGGGTAACTTGTTGTTTTAACTTGCATTTCCCCACAACCTTGTCAACAAGCAGTTATCAGCCTTTAAAGCCTCACCAATCTGATGGGCAAAAAAAGGGCATCTGGCTTTATGGGCCTTTCCCTGACCACTGTGATGAAACAGCTTTTCGTGTTTCACCAGCCCTTTGCTTTTCCTCTCTGTGAGTTGCCTCTTGGCATCCTTTTAGAAACAACTCCTTGTATCATTGAATCCTGCCATCAAGGCTAACAGGTTGGCATTATTATACCCATTTTGCAAGTAGGGAAACTGAGGCTCAGAGAGGCGAAGTCATTTGTCAGGAACACAGCTGGGAGGTCGCAGAGCCAGCAAAATGAAAACTTGGTCTGATTGCAAAATCCTGTGTGTAAAACACCTGACAAGGCAGCTGACACATCCCAGCACCAGTTGCTTCTCCAGGAAAGAGTGGTTTCTCCATTGCTCTTTCCTCCATACGGAGGCTACCAGGGACCCTGGGTCATTCAGGGAGCAACTCTGGGCCCTGGATAGGAAGGCTGCATTTTCCAGTGCGGGCAGCAGGTGGCAATGTCGGGGAAGGTTTCTCATCTTTGGGCTCGAGGCTGGTGGACAAAGCTCCCCAGACCTTGTTGGGCTTGTGAAGAGTGCGGCCTCTTTGGAAGCGTGATTTGGCAGAACCAATCAAAACAGAAAGGCTCATTCCTTTGATCCTGAACTTCCACTACTAGGAATTATCCTAGCTCATGTCTAGAGGTGCACAAAGATATTCATTGCCCCATTGCTCATAATAGCAAATGCAGCAAACAGCCTAAATGTTCCCCAGCAGGGACTGATGGAGTAAATTATGCATTCACATAGAGGAAAACTGTGCAACTTAAAGCAGAACGGGATATACTGTTATAGGATGAAATCTATTATGAAAAACGTGTAGAAGAGTGGGTATATTGTGAGGTTTTTTATTTTAATTTTTTTCCCATTTTACTGAGCTATGATTGACACATGACACTGTACAAGTTTGAGGCATACAGCATAATGACATATATAGTGAAAAGAGCACCAAAATAAGTTTTGTTAACATCCCTGTTTTGTAAGAATGTGGGAACATGTATAGATTTTTACTTCTCAGGAGGCTGAGATGAGATGATGATGCCCATTTGAACTCTTAGAGCAGCTTGCTTTCTTTTTCTTCTTTTTTTTTTATACCAGGTGCATGCATTATTCCCCCCTGCACTATTAAAAATACAAACATATTTTAAAAGAAAATTGACCATTTGGGGGACCCTTAGATCACTGAGTCTGGTGCTTCTCATGCAGGAGGGAATTGGGGGCAGTTAAATAGAGCCCCAAGCTAAATATGCTGGAATGTTCATTTTACTGGATTATTTGGGAGGGGCCTCTTTTCTTTGAATATTTTTTTGGGGGAAAGGCACTCTTATTTTAAAGGCACAGAGTCTAATGCAAAAGTCTAATACATCTCAAAGGGAAAACGTAAGACTTTAAAGATATGTCCCTCTCTGGACTGTGCCCCCAGGTTCCTAGGGAACAGATGGGCTTCCGAGGAAAAACCTGAGAGCTACTGTAGTCTGAGCCCCTCGTTTTACAGATGGGGAGACTGAGGCCCAGAGGTAGACAGGGCCTCAGCCAAGGCCACACAGCATGGGAGGTCTGGGATTTGAAACTAGTGCCTAGCAGTTCTGAATCACAGCACTCATGATCCCATGAACTAGGTTGCCTCCATTTTATAGATGGGGAAACTGAGGCTCAGAGATCCAAATTATTTGCACAAGATCATCTTTCTTTCTTTTTTTTAAGATTTTATTTATTTATTTGACAGAGACAGAGACAGCAAGAGCAGGAACACAAGCAGGAGGAGTGGGAGAGGGAGAAGCAGGCTTCCCGCTGAGCAGGGAGCCCGATGCGGGGCTCAATCCCAGGACTCTGGGATCATGACTTGAGCCGAAGGCAGCTGCTTAACAACTGAGCCACCCAGGCGCCCCCAAGATCATCTTTCTAAGAAGGAACAGAGCTAGGATTTCTACCTGGGTCTCCCTGGCTGCGAACTCTGTGTTCTTTATTTCACAAATTATTTCCTAATTATAGAAAGAGTACGTGAATATATTCTCCAGGGACTAACAATTTGCTAACATTCAGTAGCTTTATTTAATAATATAGCTACTGTTTACTAGGCCTGTCTATGCCTGGCATTGCTCTCTCTGCTTTATAGGTTAACATATTCAATTCCTGCATAACCCTTTGCATGGGAATTCGTTATCCCAGTTTACAAGTGTGAAAACTGAGGAGTTGAGAGGTGGGGTGGATTTTTGTTGTTGTTGAATCGTTGGAGTTCTTTATATATTTTGGATACTAGACCCTTGTCAGATGCATGATTTGCAAATATTTTCCCTCATTCTGCTGGTTGTCTTTTCATACTGCATTGCTTTTTAAAGTCATCCTGAAAAGTTGTGTTGACAGTGATATTCAAGGTTTATAGCTCTGCTGTCAGACCTCAAAGAATGCCAGTCATTTCCCAATCCGTGTTCAATTTCTCTGTTTCCTTTAGCCATTTCATCAGATAATTCTTATAAGCATCCAGAATGAGCATCGACCGGGGGCACTTCAACAATTCCTATACCCTCCAGTCACCTGCTGAAACTTTCCGCTTGCCCAGGTCCCACCCCCCGAGATTCAGGCAAGATTGTTCTGTGGTGGGACCTGGGCATCCAGAGATTTCAAAGCTCCTGGGTGATTCTCCAGTGCCCCCAAAATTAAGAAACACAGGAAGATAATGTAGTTGATGAAGAGTTGGGCCCATTGCTTTAAATTGAGAAGGATATCACCTCAAAGGGTCTAGAGGTTGAAGAAGAGCATACAGAGCATATCATTTGAAAATGTAATTAAGATGCTTAAAATATATGTGTATTTTAATATAAGCCTAGCCTACATTTCCACCCTTTCAAATGCCCTGTAAGATGCAGCCCAGTTTAGGACCATTGGAGGGATGGGTCTTCCTGAAACACTGCTTTGTGGTTCCAAACAGGCAATAACAAAGTTTCTAGTGCTTGGGAACCTTGTAACAATCCAAAGCAACATCCGCTTTTTCAAGGGGTGATTTCGGAAGAACCAAATCTTTTTTTTTTTTTTTTTTAAGATTTTTTTTTAAATTTATTTATTTGAGAGAGAGAGAGAGAGCACATAAGAGGGGGGGAGGGTCAGAGGGAGAAGCAGACTCCCTGCTGAGCAGGGAGCCTGATGTGGGACTCGATCCCGGGACTCCAGGATCATGACCTGAGCCGAAGGCAGTCGCTTAACCAACTGAGCCACCCAGGCGCCCAAGAACCAAATCTTTTATTTGCACATACGTTTGTAAATACAGCACCATCTTGTAGCATTAACACACCATATAAATAATAAGCACCTGGCTTCACACCCTCAACGGTCTGCCCTTGTGGGCCCATCTGGATCTGTCCCCGGTTTCCACCGCGGCGCGGTGCTCCAGAGCATGACCTGCCGGTGTTTATTTCATGGTGATATCAGCTGGCAATCTGAGGGCCACAGCTGACCTTCAGAGATGCTTTTGCGGCCTGCACAGTGATGCACAGTTCTTGCTCAGATGCTAACCTTAAAAAACAGGGGGAGGGGGCGCCTGAGTGGCTCAGTTGGTTAAGCGACTGCCTTCGGCTCAGGTCATGATCCTGGAGTCCTGGGATCGAGTCCTGCGTCAGGCTCCCTGCTCAGCGGGGAGTCTGCTTCTCCCTCTGACCCTCCTCCCTCTCATGCTCTCTGTCTTTCATTCTCTCTCTCTCAAATAAATAAATAAAATCTTTAAAAAAAAAAAAAACGGGGAGAGTCCATATGAACATCTGGATTTTCATCGTCTTCTGAAAACTCAGGCTCCCGGCTGTGCTGGGCCAAGTTTGTCTGTCAGGCCCATGGGGCTGAGAAGAGGCCACCCCACCCCTCCTGTTCCCCATGGCCCCTTCCTGGCCCTCCTCCCTCATGTACCTTCCCTGCCTTCCCCGGAGGTAGTGGAGTATGAGACCCCAGGCCCATCCGTCCCCACTTGATGGCAGTTAGGTTATTTCCCAGTGTCTCCTGAATGCCGCTGTGCTGAGTCTGCTCGTAGATGTCCCCCAGGGCGCGCGGGCTGGTGTTGCTTTGGGATCGGACCCTGGGAAGGGAGAATGCCGCTCTGTGTTTTGTGTTCCTTCCCCTGCCGCGTAAGAAGCACCATTCGCTTAAGGCGTACTGACGGGGCACCAACGGTGGGCCAGGTGCTGGACACACAGATACGAATAAAACCGAAGAGGCCCTTTACTCCTGTCCCCTGGCGGCAGGGAGGACGGGGAATAACAGGTCAGCATTCAAAGGCCCTCCCTGGAGCCTCTTTCTCCAGCCCCCACCCCCCCAAGGAGTAACACCCACCAGCAGACCCTTGGCCTCAAGGGACATCGGCTGGGTGGCCCCGGGCTGGGGCGGGGGGGATCTATAACCCCCACCCTCTGTGCTCTGGCCCCATAGGGGATAAGGACCGCGCGTGCCAAGCCAAAGGTCGCCTGTGGAAGCTGCTGTCCCCGGCCCGGCTGGCTACCCGGGCCCACCGGAGCCGCTGGCTGGAGAGTTACCTGCTGCACCTGGAGGAGACAGGCACGGCGGAGGCCATGCAGGCCCGGGCCATGGTGTTGCAGCTCTGGGCCACACAGGTGGGCGTGGCCGTGCGGGGGTGGGGGGGCACGCAGGTGCGGCTGTGCACGTGAGCGCCTATGGGTGCTGTCGGGCACATGCCCGCACGCGTGTGCGTGGGGGTGTGCGTTTGCGAGTGTTTGTCCGCACGAGTGTGGGCACGGACACAGACCCAGTGGTCAGTTCCCTGGCTTTCCAGACTGTCAGGCCGTTAGCACGAACAGGATCGTTCATTCAATATTCAGTTGTTTTTTGAATTTGGAAGAATGGCAAACTGAGAGAAAAGCTGTGTGAATAGCTTAATAGACACTTGCATACACTTCACCTTGATTTCCCAATTTTGAACATTTTATCGTATGTGCTTTCTCTCTCTCCCTCTTGCCTTCTCCTCCTCCCTCTGTCCTACTGTGATTATTTTACTGAACCATTTGCAAATAAATTGCAGACATCATGGCTCTTTACCCCTCATTTACTTGGGCATACATTCCTGGGAGCAAGAATTTTCCCTTACGTGACACAGTACAATGATCACATTCAGGACAGTTAACCCAGATACAGGATCATTAGTTAATAGGCAGTCTCTATTCCAGTTTGGCCAGTTGTCCCAGTAATGTCCTTTATGGCTCATCTTGGTCCGACAGCCAATCCAGGATCACATGGTGCATTTAGTCATTCTGTCTTTTGAGTTTTCTTTAATATGGAACAGTGTCTTGCCTTTCATTGTTTTTCATGACCTTGACATTTTTGGAGTATGCAGAACAGTCATTTTGAAGAATTATTTAAAAGTTCCTTTGAGTACTTCCCATAGGCCTCAAAGACCTGCTTTTGTTGCTTGTGTTTTCGCTGGCTGTGGGGGTGGGGCAGACAATCAAAGAAACACATGTATAGGGTGATATTAGATGTGGATATGCAGGATGTAAAATGGAGTCATGAATAGAGAGATCCTGGGGGTCTCCTGTAGCCCAGGGGGTCGGGGAGGCCTCTCTGAGGAGATGTTTGGTTGATAAGAAAGAGCTGAAGTTGGGAGCTTGGGAGGGATGTGGGAATAGAACTTTCCAAGTGGGGAAAACTGCAAGTGCAAAGGCCCTGAGGTTGTATCATACCCAGTGTTTGAGCAACAGCAAGGAGTCGAATGTGGCTGAAGCAGAGTAGAGAGGGGGCGGTGCTGGGAGTGAGGGAAGAGGGCCTGTGTGTCCCAGTAAGTAAGGACTTGGGATTTTTCTCTGGGTGAGGTGGGAGCCCTGGGAGTGTTCTAAGCAGAGGAGGGACAGGATCTGAGGAGAAAAGGCAGAAGCAGGGACACCAATAAGGAGACGGTGGTGGTAGGACCAGGTGGTGGCCATGGAGGTGATGAGGAAGTGGATGGATTCTGGAAACAGAGAAGACAGTGCCAATGGATGTGGTAATGGACCAGATACTGAGGAGAGAGAAAGTGGGGCTCAGGATGCTGCCTCTTGAGACCTGGTTCCTCTCCTCTCCTGGACCCCAGAGTCCCGCTCCTTCTGTTGGCCCCTCCTCAGCTGGGACTGCTGCACAGACTGATGTTTCTGGGTAATTCCCTTCCCATTGACTTGCAGCTTATTTTTAGTTTTCTCTCAGAGCCATTAACTGTCCTTGCAGGCAAAGGCTGACAAGGGGCAAGGGTTGGGTTTAATCAACAGTTGGGGCCCCATTAGTGCCTAATAACATATTGATGGGCAGAGACTTGGCATTCCAAACTGCCCCCAGAATCCCTTGCTGAATGACCTCTGTCAGCAGAACTGGACGCTGGCTTGGGGGCTTGAGTGGCAGAAAGCCTGGGGAACAGCCTTTGGCGGGGCCAGGAGAACTGAGCAGGACTTGGGGACAGGACATCCTCTGACTCTGAGTCGTTGGCAGCATGCAGAATTCAGGCAAGTGGGAAGACACTTCGAGAGCTCAAGTCTTGAGAATAGGGCCAAGATGCTGAGTAGCCCAGTGGTTTCGGGCGCAGGCCCTGTGATCAACCTGCCTGGTTGTAAAACGAAAATGGCAGTCCCTTCCTCAAGGCGCTTTGGTGAGGAAGAGAGGAAGGAATGATGCAAAGCCTGTAACCTGCTTGGAGACAACTAGAGCTCAGGAGACATGTTCAACAGATATTTAGTGAGGGCCCACTGTGTGCTGGGCATCATTCTAGAAGCTGGAGATAGAGCAGTGAGCAGACCAAAGATCCCTCCTCTTATGGAGCTGATATTCTGGGAGAGAGCAATTGATAAACAAGTAAGCATATTAAAATATAGTCAAGTTCTGCAGAGAGAGGATAAAGCAGGGGAGGGAATAGCAGAGGGGAATGAGGAGGGGCTGCTTTATATAGGGTGGCCAAGGAAAACCTCACCAAGAAGATGGTATCTGAGCAGAAACTCAAAGGAAGGGAGGGAGTGGGGGAGCCATATAGATACATAGGATGAGGGTATCTGAGCAGGGGACACAGCAAGTGCAAAGGCCCTGAGGTGCGGGGATGAGGATGATGAGAGAGATAGCAGGTGCCAGACCATGCAGGGCCCTGTGGGCTTTGGGGAGAACTTTGACTTTTACTCTAAGAAAGGAATTCTTTGAGGGCTCTGAGCAGAGGAACAACATGGCCTGCCATCTGCTTTAGGGAGATCATTCTGGCTACACTGCTGAGAATCGGCTGTAGTGAGAGAAGTGGAGGCAGGGAGACTAGAGATGAGGCCACTGCAGGGTCCAGGCAAGAGAGGATGGTGCTGGACCAGGGTAGGCGCAGAGGCCCAGAGGGTGAGTGCGTGCGTTCTGGACTGATTTCCAGGTTTAACCAACAGAATTTGCTGTTGGACGGGACATTGAGAGAGGGCTCCAATGAGGATGCCTCCAGGTTTTGGTCTAAGCAACAGGAAGGATGAAGATGTTGTTAACAGATGCGCAAGATGGTGGAAGGGGCAAGTCTGGGGGGAGAAAATCAGAGGGTTGGTTTTGGGTGTGCTGAGTTTGAAACGGACAACTGGGTGGGAGGTGGGGGGGTATAGCTGGAGTAAAGAAGAATCTGGAGGGCGCCTGGGTGGCTCAGTTGGTTAAGCGACTGCCTTCGGCTCAGGTCATGATCCTGGAGTCCCGGGATCGAGTCCCGCATCGGGCTCCCTGCTCAGTGGAGAGCCTGCTTCTGCCTCTCTCTCTCTGCCTGCCTCTCTGCCTACTTGTGCTTTCTCTCTGTGTGTCAAATAAATAAATAAAATCTTAAAAAAAAAAAAAAAAAAAAAAAAAAGAAGAATCTGGAGTTCAGGGTTAAGGCCCAGGGGGGAGATGTGCATTTGGGAGTTGGCAGCCACCGGACTGGAGACAGTGGGGGCCTGGGTGGTTGGAGAAGGGACCAAGCCCTGGGCCTCTGCAGCTGTGGGGGTCAGGAAGATGGGGAGGAGCCTGCCCAGGAGACTGAGGAGGAGTGGCCAGGGGGCTGGGAGGGGAACCGGGAGGGAGGCCACTCAGAGGCCAGCTGCAGAAAGAGTTCCACAAGGTGGCAAATGGTGTAGCTGTGATTGCTAGTGTCTGGTCGGAGTGAAGTCAGGAGTGATAATGGAGGGGTCAGCAGAGGCTCCAGCATCCAGGGCCCTAGAGGGCCACCTGGTGGGCTGAGATCCAAGGTCCAGGCCAGGGAAGAGGCTGGCTCTGAGGGCACCAGGTGGGCAGAGAGAGGAGTTCATGAAGGCCTGCCCGGCAGGCCCGCAGCAGTCCAGGCTCCCCTCCCAGCTCTGAGCCTTTAGGCAGTGGGTGACCATGTTGACCCTAAAAAAAATTTTTTTTTAATCATAAAAAGTGAAAAGAAAGATCATCTATGATCTCCCATCCTTCAGCTCTGCTTTCTTCTGCGGAGGCTCCAGCCCCAGATGGGCTTCCCCAGATGGTGGCAGTGAAGGCCACCAGCGGCTCCCGGCTGTTGGGCAGTCCCTGCGGAGGAGGGCTTCTCCTTCCCTGGGATTCTCACAGAGATCCCAAGTGTGGTGCTCACTGGCCCAGCCGGGGTCACGCGTCCCCTCTGAGGGCATCACTCAGAGTGGCCCAGCCTGGGTCACGTGGCCACACCTGCGGTCTAGGGGGGGGTGGGTCAGCCCCAGATGATCAGAGTGAAGTGGAGGTAGTTCTTCGAGGAAAATGGGGCTGTTACCCACAGGCAAGGGAGGGAATGCGGGGCAGGCAGGGCTGCAGGTGTCCCCCACTCCTACGACTGTGTGGTGAGGTGGCCACAAGGTGGCGCACAGGAGTCTCCGGGACCTGCATCCCGCACACCTTGAGCGCCCCTGGAGGCCAGCTGCCGCCATTCACAGAAAAAGTAGAGCAGAGGACAGGTGCTCCTGGGGGAATGGACTTTGGCTGCAAGGGTAGAGAATGAGGCTAGATGGGACATGTCCTCCTGGGTAAACTGAGGCAAGGCCCTATGGGAGGCTCAACTTCCAGGATAGTGAATTGAAGATCTCTCTCTTTTTTTTTTAAGATTTTATTTATTTATTTGACAGAGAGAGAGATAGCGAGAGCAGGAACACAAGCAGGGGGAGTGGGAGAGGGAGAAGCAGGCTTCCTGCGGAGCAGGGAGCCCGATGCAGGGCTCGATCCCAGGACCCAGGGATCATGACCTGAGCTGAAGGCAGACGCTTAACGACTAAGCCACCCAGGCGCCCGAATTCAAGATCTCTTGTAGTGGTGTGATCACATACACACATGCACACTCACACGTCTGGGTGGTTGGGTGGAAGGCAGTCTTTGCCACTTCCCTAACTTGCCACAGCTTTTTCCTGAAAGCAGAGATCACTGAGCAGCCTCGAGTTCCCTGCCCACTTTGTAATTAATCAGTGGTGGCCCCCATCAGACTGTCTGGTTGAGATAAAATGGCCCTTGCACTGAGTTAACGCAAGGCTGAATTATTTATCACTACACTCCCCTGGCTATTTAAGTGATGGACAGCAAGTGACCTTGCTTGTCTCTGCTGGAGCTGAGGTGCTGGAGGAAATCTCAACAGTGTCCAAGTTCCCTCTTGTTCTCGAACAGGGTGGGGGAGGGAGAGGAAGAGTGCTGGGAGGGAAACCACTTCTGAGCACCTACTCTGTGCCAACACGTGGAGGTCGCTTGTATCCAGTCTTAGTCTCAGGGGACCATTGTGGAACCCCAGGAGTGAGCATGTTATCCCCATTTTACCAAGAGGGAGGTTCTTTTTTTTTTTTTTTTAAGATTTATTTATTTTAGAGAGAGAGAGAGTAGGGGGAGGGACAGAGGGAGAGGGAGAGAGTCTTAAGCAGACTCCACACTGAGCACAGAGCCTGAGGTGGGGCTCGATCTCACAACCCTGAGGTCATGACCCGAGCCAAAATCAGGAATTGGATGCTTAACCAACTGCACCACCCAGGCGCCCCTCGAGAGGGAGGTTCCAAGACCGGGAGTGAGAAGTGACTTATCCAGAATCACAGAAAGAGGGGAGTTGGGATTTGAACCCAGCTCTGCCTGGTCCAATCCAGAGTTCTGCCAGCCCACCTCCCGGGCTGCCTTGGGACATAGATGTTTATTTGACAAATGCCATTGAGCCCGTGCTAGGTGCTGGGCCATGAGCAGAGGCTAGGGAGTGCTTAGTTTTCCTTTTCAGTGAAAAGGATGATAACAGTGCCTGCTTGAAGGGAGGATTGAGAGAGGAAGCTTGGCACCTCCTTGGTGCCGAGCTCTCAGTAGCTAAAGAAAAAAACCAAAATTTGTGTCACCATCATCAATGCTCTGGTGCACTTGTTTACTACCTTTTTCCGAATGTTTTCTTCTGTGATGAAGATCGTGCAGTTTTTAAAATCCACGTTTTAATTTTACCTAATATGGTGTCATGAGCTTTTCTCCTGGTCATTGCAGATCACCATAAAGATACTCATTTTTGTTTTGCTTAAAAATACTGCCTCCAGCGGCACTTGGGTGGCTCAGTCGGTGAAGCGTCTGACTCTTGATTTCGGCTCAGGTCATGATCTCAGGGTCGTGAGATCGAGCCCTGTGTCGGGATCTGTGCTCAATGCGGAGATTGCTTGAGGATTCTCTCTGTACCTCGGCCTCTGCCCCTCCCCACTCTCTCTCTCTAAAAATAAATAAACCTTAAAAAAAAAAAAGTACTGTGTCCATTAAAAAAAGTCAAACAGTTTAAAAAGACATACGCAGTGCAAATCAGTACCCACCCCCTGTCCTTCCAGCTTCTGTCCCAGAGGCTCCTTCAAGAGCTGGTCTGTGCTTCTTCATATGATCCCTCTTGAAAAGTACATGTAAGTGGGAGCACAGTGAACCCCTGTTCCACGTCGTGCTTCCTGCATCTTGGCTATAGTCCCGTCAGCACACACACGGCTGCACAGTCACTGCCTTTTAACGACTTCCTGTATCATCATCCTGAGGAGGGATCATCCTGTATCTCATTGATCTATTGATAGACATTGAGATTGCTTCCAATCTTTTGTTGTTACGTCAGCCCTGCGATCAGTATCCTTGTGCAAATGTCCTTTTGTCTGTGTGCGATTATGTCTGTAATAGAGTTACTGGGGAAATATGATATGTAATGACTCTTAACATCATCAAGACTGGCTGGTGGACAAAACTCTTCCCCCGCAGTCGAGGTGAGTTGGTATTCCACCCATGCCTGGAGCTCATTTCAGGGAACCCCACACACGGTTTAGCCACATGCTAAATACCTGAATATTAAAACAGTTCAGCTAAGGCTGAAGTCTGGGAGCAAGAAATTTTATCCATTTTCCTAATTACTGAACTATTGGGGATTTTTATGTAATTTTTGTTCAAGAAATTATGAGCTCTCCCAGTCCCCATTGGTTGTGGCTTCTTTGTTTCATACATACACAGTACTCAGTTATTTGGAAGTAGATGTCCAGATGTCCCATCAGTTTGCTATTGCTGTAGACCAGCCAACCACAAAAACGCAGTGGTACACACTGAGGGGCATTTATTTACCTCATGGGTCTGCGGGTCTGCTGGGAGTCAGCTGCGCTAGACTGGGCTCAGCTGGACAGCCAGCTCTGCCCTGTGTGTCTCGCGTCCTCCTCGTGGGACCAGCAAGCCAGCCGGGCAGGTGGAAACACGCAAGGTCTCTTAAGAGATTCATGGGGCTGGGGAAGTACCCTCTGCCTCTGAGATGGGAGGGAGTGCCAAGTCCACGGTGAGGGGCGTGGGTACAGGGAAGGGTGGAGAATTGGGGCTAAGGATGCAGTTACCCTCAGATGTTAACCATAATCTTAACTGATACGCCTTGTTCCTACTTCTGACCTTCTTTGCCGATTCGCTATGAAGATTACCTGTGCGAGCTCAGATCAATGAGTTTGCTCAAGGTCGGGGATGCCAAGAATAGCCCTGAAATAGGCATTGGGCTACACCAAAGCCCCAGAGCACATTTGGGCCATGGCCTGAGCTGAAGATAAACATGAGTCATGCCTAGATGTTTGGCAGCCGTGGGAACCTCTGTGCCTTGGCCCGGGCTGTGTCCGTGGCACAGACCGATCAGCTCTCGCCCCAGGCCTGCCTTCTTGGTGGTATAACAGGGGCTCCTTCTCATTGCAGGGGAATATGGGTCCTGCTGCCTTCTGGCTTCTGCTCTTCCTCCTCAAGAATCCCGAGGCCCTGGCGGCTGTCCGTGGAGAGCTCGAGCAGCTCCTCTCCAGAGCGGAGCAGCCCATTTCGCAGATGACCACCATCCCCCAGAAGGTTTTGGACAGCATGCCTGTGCTCGGTGAGAGAGGCAGACTCTCCAAATTAGCCCCAAAGACTGAGTCATCGTGGGCACCCTAAGTCCTTCCCAGCATGGGCTTCCACAAGTCCAGGGTCCTTTGGCATCCTCTGACCTAGGGTCTCCCTAGACCTCCTATCTTCTTAGACCTGGCATCTCTATGCCCCTGTCTCAGCTGCCCAGGACTCGTGGACTCAGTAGATTTGCGGTTGCCATCGGCAGAAAACCTCACTTAAACTGGCTGACGCAGAAAAATGACTTTTTTTGAGGGCATTAACTAGAAAGTTCAGAGGATATCTAGCCTCAGGCACAGGTGGACCCAGGTGCTTTAACAACATCATCAGGACTCAGTACTCGCTCTCTCAGCCCTGCTCTGCTGGGTTGGCTCCAGTTCCAGGCCCACAGGATGGCCACCAGCAGGTCCAGGCTGATATGCTGTCAGCCCAGGGAGGGTGCGCTTCTCTGCAACATTCCTACCCAAAGTCCCAGGAATGTGTCTTATTGGTTTTCTTTGAGTTATATGTCCACCTTGAACCAATTATGGGGTTCAAAAGGTTGGGATGCTTGGATTGGCCAATCACACAGAGCCCATGGAATTGGGAGTGAAGTCAACAAACAGCCCAACCTCTGAGAGTGGGAGAGGGGTGATCCCCAGAAGAAAACCAGGGAACTATTTCCAGATGGGAAATGTTAGCTGGGCAGACAGAAACAACCAGTATCGATGGCCCTGCTCCCCCGTAGTCTCTTCTGATATCTCCCTGGCTCCTGTAGTCCCTCACAGCTTCTAGAGTCAGACTCAAACCCTCACATCCAAGGTCTGAGGACCATAGTAATCGTATCTCATCACTTGGCCTTTTGTCGCCTCACTGTGTGATGGTGGGCAAGTTACATACCCTCTCTGAGCCTGCTCACCTTCCTCTATAAAATGAGAGTTGGGGCTGGCATTTTAGTGTGTGAGGGGACAGCTGCTGACCCTTCCTGGTACCTGCCTGTGCAGATAGCGTGCTGAGTGAGAGCCTCAGGCTCACCGCTGCGCCCTTCATTACCCGGGAGGTTGTGGTGGACCTGGCCCTGCCCATGGCAGACGGGCGGGAATTCAGCCTGAGACGTGGAGACCGCCTCCTCCTCTTTCCCTTCCTGAGTCCCCAGAAAGACCCGGAAATCTACACAGACCCAGAGGTAAATTACATACTAGGGACCATGGGGGAAAAAATCAGTGGCTTTGGGACTAGCCAAATCTGAGTGGCAGCCCACTTCTGCTCTTTGTTTTCTGTGTGACCATGCCCAGATTCCTTCACCTGTCTGTTTTCTCACCAGTGAAATGGACCTCATAATAGCACCTGCCTCACAGGGTTGTCAGGAAGATTAAATGAGACTATGTAAGAAAGGCCTTCACAGTGCCTGGCACACATGGAGTGCTTTGTAAGCGATAGCTGAGTAATTTTCCTTTTATTGGAATGTTACAATGTCAGCTTCTCAACACTTTTCTCTCTCCCTGGACTTTGAGATGGGTCAAACTTTCACAGTTTCTAACAGATTTGGGTGCTTACCCTCTGCCAGGACCTATGCTGTATATTCATCCATCCACTCACCCATCCATCCCACCCATCCATCCACCCCTCCACCCACCTACCTATCCATTCACCCATCCATCCCACCCATCCATCCATCCACCCACCCATCCATCCATCCACCCACCCATCCATCCATCCATCCACCCCATCTGTCCATCTGTCCACCCACCCACCCACCACCCATCCATCCATCCATCCACCCACCCACCCATCCATCAACTCACCCTTCCATCTCTCTAACCACTGGTCCATTCACCTATCTTTCCACCCATCTTTCATTCACCTTCTCTATGCCCAAGCCCTGTGCTCAGATACAATCCCCCTTACCATTCTACAATGTAACCAAAGGAAATTGGCATCCTCTTTTTTTAAAATAAAGTTTTAAAGTAATCTCTATACCCTACATGGGGCTTGAACTCATGACCCCGAGATCAAGAGTTGCATGCTGAACTGACAGAGCCAGCCGGCCACCTCTAAAAATCATTTTAATTTTTAAATTTTAAACTGCCTAACTAATATATACTTATATAGTAGAAATATACAGACACATATGTTTAAAAGTAAAAATCTTCCTTTATTCCTATTACTCTCCAGTTCCACAGACTTCCCTAACAATGGTTTGGAGGGTATCCTTTAAGTTAGTTTTATGCCTTTACAGATACACGACAGACTCACACACATGAAAATATAGGTGTGTGGACAGGATCACACAACACATGCTATTCCAAAACTTGCATTTTTCACTCAACAGCCAGTCTAAAAAATTCTGTGTGAGCGCACGAAGAGCAAGCTCAACCTTCTAAATGGCTGTCATAATTTTTTAACCAATCCCCTATCGATTGGCCTTTACACTGTTTTCAGTTTTTCCCTCTTATAAACAAGACTTCAAGGAACATCCTGACACAGTTTTCTTCGGGCATGCGTGCTCTGGGCGTGGAGTCAGAGAATGGAACCCCTTCCCGTTTCAGGTATTTAAATATAACCGATTCCTGAACTCTGATGGGTCAGAGAAGAAAGACTTTTACAAGGACGGGAAACGACTGAAAAGTTGCAGCCTGCCATGGGGAGCTGGACACAACCAGTGCATGGGGAAGGCTTACGCCGTTAATGGCATCAAACAGTGAGTGTGGGGGCGGGGGGGTGCTGGTGGGGGAGGCACCTGCTCCAGCCCGTTGGCACACGCCTCCTCTCTGGAGACCAGGGGTTCTCAGCCAGGAAAATGGGCAGAGGCTCCTGCCCACAGGTCTGTTTATTTGTGTGTTTAAAAATGTGTGCTAACTTTTAAGAATCCGAAGATCTCACATTTAAAAAAGCCAGATTTCTGGTCTCTTCTGAAATAATCAGACCTGGCAGTGAGCTCTTCCCTCCAAACCTGGTGTCCAGATACTAAACACGGGACATTCGGTGCCGCTGGCCGTTGCTCTCTGTCTGCAGCTGCCGGGCACGTTCAGAACCCCTCGGCAGGAACTGGCCAAACGTCATTGTTCCCTCTTGGTTATTTTAATGGCTGTGCACTCGAGTGCTTTATAAATTCTCTTCCCTGGATCCTGAGAGCCTTGGCCCCGGACCACAAACAGATCCGGCCAGGGTTATGACATCCGCCCTGTCCTTCTGTCCTGCCCCCGTGTAATTGTAAGCTGGGTCACCTGCTGTGCCTGGGTCCTCAACTGTCCAGTTGGGGTTACTGATCATACTGTATCCCAGGGGTGTCAGAACAAAGGAATTGAGGCTTGCAAAGTACTTAAGCCACTGCCTGGCTCATTGTAAATATCTAGTAAGTGCTAGTTATTACTGTAATTACTAATAATTAGTGATTACTAATATGCAGGCGTTGTGCTAAGTGAATGGGCACATTACATTAATCTATTGGTCTCCGCTTTCTCAGCAGTGAAATGGAGCTCCTAATATAGCCAGTTCTGCCTGAATGCTTCAGGTGACATTCCTAAAAATCACGGCCATGTGAAACCACATGATAAAATCCACAGGGATTGTGGGGGAAATGGGGCTGGGGCCTGACAGACCAAAAACCTCCGAAGGGACACATGCAAGATAAGAACCCAGGGGCAGAGATGGTCGTACAGGCTTACACGTGTTTCGTGGCTGAGAAGTACTTAGGTGCTGCCGTAAATATGGCTCTTCACTTTGAAAACCACCTGAAGTTTGTTTGTGGAAGTGGGCGGTGGTGGGTTGCAGCTGTGCTGTGAAGTGTGGAAGGAGGGTCCCCTGGGGGCGCACGAGCCACCCCGTGAGCCGAGCTCGCTGGTGGCTGGAGTTTAGGTGCGCACGTGCGTGGGTTTGTGGCTTCCCACTTAGTGGGTCCAGCTGGGTGCGGCTTAGCATTCTCCTTGTGCTTCTCGCACACAAAACACGTGAGCAAATGGGAAATCTGCCTGAGGCTTCCTTGGTGCCCCAATACATCAGTCACGTTGGAACAGACTCACGTGTTCAAAAGTGTTGCAGCAGAACTCACTGCGGGTATTACCTCATAACGTTTTTGGACAGATAAAAAGAGATCTCGGATACTAAATGCTTAGCACAGCGCCTGGCACCTGGCGTTTCAACACATTCATCAATTTCTCGTTATTTGATCTCCGCTCACTGTCATGCAACCCTGCCCGGTAGGGGTCAGTCCATTACTGACCCTAGAGGTCAGATCATTTGCCACCATGATCACGCACCTGGGTGAGGGGAGGTGCCAGGATCCACATCGAGGTGTGGGTACAGAACTCCCCGCCCTGTCCTGTATAAACTCACTCTCTAGCATCCTAGAGCTTCAGAGCTGGGATGGACCCATCCTACCTCTTTGACCAGGTCGGGAAACTGAGGCCCAGAGTGGGGAAAGAAACCTGATGAGGGTCAAGAGGCAGAGCTGTGTTTGCCCAGCTCCGCTGTCAAGAGCGTGGACTTTGCTCCGTCCTCGCCTTCCCGCCTTGAGGCAGGGGCGCCTTTTCCCAGTCTCAGAGACAGCCACTGGCTTCGCAGCGGCCCTGACCGGAGCAGACAGTAAGGGTCCCAGGAGTTGGGTGGGGTGCAGGGGGTGGGGAGGGCTCTGGTCTGGGGGAGTCGGAAAGGGTCACTGATGCTGCTGTAACAAACGACCCCCAAATCTCTGGCCTGTGACAACTCACAAAGTGGGTTGTGGGTGTGGGAGGACCCCTGCCTTCCACACACAGACTCAGCGACCCATCTCCCCGCTCCGGCACCCTGGCACGAGGTACACACAGCCATCGGGCAGAAAGCACGCCGAGGGCCTCATGCTGACCAGGCAGCCTTTGGTGTGGAGTCGGCCCTTGTCACTTCTGTCCAGCCCCACGGCAGAACTGGTGGGTGGGCCTCCGAGCCACAGGGGCTGGCGGACGGGGAGGAGCTTGTGGACTTAAGCTGTGCTCTTGCCCTCTCCTTCTCCCACTTTCCCCGAAGCGAGGCCTGGGGTGACTGGGGAGGAAGCCATTGCCTTCCTGCCTTATTCCAGAGAAGCCCCCCTAGTCTTCCAGTGCCGCACACGTTCAACACCATCTCTCTGCAGATTCGTGTTCCTTGTGCTGGGGCACTTTGACCTGGAGCTGATCAACCCAGACGTGGAGATCCCCGAGTTTGACCTCAGCAGGTACGGCTTCGGGCTGATGCAGCCGGAACACGACGTGCCCGTCCGTTACCGTGTCCGGCCATGAGCTCCGGGAGCAGATGGGGCTCCGCACACGTGCCTCCACCCACCCTGCCCCCCATCACCCAACTTCCTGTGTCTGTTTGTCCTGGGTGCAGGAGCTTTGACCGCCCAACGGGGCCAGCATGACTACTTTGCTGATTTTTTTTTTCCTAGAAGGCTGTGTCTGGGGAGGGGACCGAAGGCAAGCTGACAGGAGGGGGATGGAAAAGGACACAAAGCTCTGTGAATTGTCTGCGACTATGGTTGAGTTCCAAAATGAGTCTCTGCTCCTAGCTCACCTTGCTCTCCCCGCTCCCCCCACCCCCATGATATCCACAAAAGCTGGGGCAGGCAGGGCAGAAGCAGGAGTCCTTAAAGCTCTGCTGTGCCCCACCTCCCCGAGGGGCCAAGTCCTTGCCAGTGCTGTGGTCCAGGCCTTAGCCAGTCAAACCAGATGCTGGCCATAAAAGAGCCAATCAGGACCACGCAGTGTATCTATTAAAATCAGCTGTGTCCCCAAATTATTAAACTAGCCAACACCAAAGGAGTCCCTTAGAATCTCTCCTCCCTAGGTGCCATATTCACTAGACACTTCCCTCATCTCTCCATTCACACTGATGTTTGAGAAAATTCAGGAAGGTTTTCCCAAAGGCTGATGCGTTCAAGGTACAGATCATGAGCCCCCTCCAAAGACTGGGCTCTAAGGAGTAGAGTTCTTTGTTGTAGACATATGGGCTCCAGATGGGAGAGCTTTCCCAGTGTCGAGACTCAAGTAGGGAATAAGAAAGACAGTCCAACAGGATGGTCCCAATGGAAGGAACCAGCCAGGGCTCCTTGGAATGGTCAAGCCAAAAAAAGAGGTGTTGGTTTTCTACATTCTAGCTTGGAAGCTCCAGCTGTGGTATATGATCCATTGGCCGACCTGTTTTTTTGGCCTATGCTTATGAAAAAATACATTAGTTGTTACCGTGTCATCTGTGGGAGAGTTCATTTAAAATGTCCAGCTTCTCTTGAAAATTTGGAAGCTCTGGCCACACTGGGCCCATATTCCCAAGGGCAACTGTTGGCCAGAGCTGAGCAGCTGCCCACTTCCTTACCCAGGGATGTGCATTCTGGCTCACTAGGGTTTCCACTTGGTGGAAATTTTTCTTTCTGCTTCTCCATTCACAGTCCCTCCTGGCCCTTGAAGGCATTCCAGTTTGAAAGCCCTGTTCTAACTCTTAGAAGTGATCTTGTAGGAGGTGGTAGGAACCTACTAATTGGTCCTTGGACCAGTGGTGCACCCTATCCTGGATGCACCATCCTTCGAACAAAGATCAAGGATGAAAACTTGCCTTTGTGTCAGCTTTAGAAAAAAACAGGTCAAAGAGAAAAACTGCGGAAACCTTTATTCTGTTAAGTACTATTACTAACATTAGTCCCTGTTTATTGAGGACCCTCTAAATGCCTGTGACGGGCACAGTGGATCCAGTATTTCTGCTTCTCACAGCATCTGTGAAGAGAGGACGGTTATGCCTTCTTTAGAGATGAGGAAATGGGCTCAGAGAGGTGACGTGACTTGGTAGGATCTGGCAGAATTATTATCCCAGTAGCACATGGTAGATGGGCAGCTCTGCGTTCCTTGGGCTCAAGGGAGGGGCGGGGGGTGGAGGGCCAGTTCTGTTTCACGTTGGAGAGCTGACAAAGCCAGAGGCACCCATGGCTGGCTGCGTCTCACGAGACGCAGACATGCATATGCACGCATAGCTCGGTCCCTGTAGCTTTAGCTGGAGGGAGGAGAGGACCTGAGATCTCTGAACATTCCAGGGGCCAGTCTCTGCTCAGAGCAGCACCAGGGCTTGGGGGCTTCCCTGGCCCCCAGCCTCCAGGCACCCCCAGGATTCCCAGACAGACACTGTGATTGGCAGGAGGCAGGGTATCCCCAGGGAAACCCATCTTCACGCCTGGGTGACCCCCGCTGCCGCCTGCTTCTTAACTCTGCGGGAAATCAGGGTTGGCAGCCTTCTGTGGGAGGATGGAGCCTGTTTCCATGGCAACCGTAGCTGCCTCCTCCTGCCTTGGAAGGGAAGGAAGAAGGCTGGCAGAAATAGATGCAGGAAGATCTCGTCGAGCAGGGCTGTACCCCGGTGTGTGGGGGGAAAAGCCCTTATGACTTTGCCCCCCTCCAAATCAGGGCTGCCCTGTCACTGGGACTAGGTTCTCACCCATGTTCCCTAAAAGGCCAATTCCTCTAAAAGGTGGCGCCTCCATGGAACCACAGACATTAGGAAGAGATGGTTCTCCCACCAGGCAGCCCCAGCTGGTACCAGAGATCTTGAAGAAGAGCTTGGGGGGACAATGCCTTAAACCCTCCCTTGTTTTAATCTTTCTTTTTTCCTTTCCCCCACCCACCCTTTTCTTCTTAAAAAAAAAAAAATCAATATAAGGTATAGAGTAAAGAGGGAAAGATGAGTGTGTTAGCTCCTTGCTGCAGGTTAGTTAAGAAGGTACCGGATATCGTTGTATTTCTTCATACTTTGCTTTAGAACCACAAAATTGCAGGACACATGTCAGAAATGCTCTTAGGTCGACCTAATGAAGTGTTTCCTCTCTGTCAGCATTATTGTTATTTTGTTTGTGCTCTATTTTGTATTGTTGTTTACCAGGTATTTTCTTTTAAAACAGACTCATTCTTTAAACTTTAAATTTGCTTAAAAGGGGAACTTTATTCCACTGCTGCCATTAAGGGACAACATGTATCACTCGCTGCCAAAAATAGAAAGTGGCTGTGAAAAATACATTTGCTGGGGGAGGGCCTCCGGGCCCCTGTCGCCAAGGCTCAGAGCCTGAGCTCTGTCTCGGCTCTGTTACAAAATGAGACAAGCAAGCAATGCAGGGGCGGTTAGAGCCAGGGCAGCACCACCTTGAGACTTTCGAGACTTTCTCCTTGACCGTCTGGGGCAGGAGGAGGAGTAAGCTGCTCAGCGCAAGTCGGAGCTCCTGCCTGGCCGGCCCCGCCCACAGTGAGCTGGGGACGGCCCACCTGCCCATCCTCCGGATTAGAGAAACAGGCTCTAGGAGTTGAAGTGTCTTGCTAAAGTCCTTGATCTTGGTGTGTGTGTATGTGTGTGTTAGTAAACACAGTGTTTGGGGAGTAGCAATGATTATTATGCCTTGCTGTTTTAATAAAGAATTCTATTTTCATATAATCTTGTTGAGCGGAAATGTGCTGAAATGTATTAAACCATCCTTGTTTATGGAACTGCCTCTGAGTGTGATTTAGGTTGAGAGTCGGCCATGTCCGGAATGGCAAGGGTGGTTTCTGGGAAGAGAGGCACAGACGACCTACTGTGTGCCGACTTTGGGACAGGGCCTTTAGAATCCAGTCGTACCGCCAGCATCCCTCTGTATATTATTGTCCATTTTTACAGATGGAGAAACTGATGGTCAGAGAGGTAAGTGGCTTGCCCAAGATCACGTGGCTAATTAGTAACCACAAGAGTTGAGTGCAGGCCTCTCTGCCTCCTGAGACCATGTTGAGGATCTTTCTATCAACAATCCTGTCAGCAAAAGAGGGCCAGGATGCCCACAGAGGACCTTGGGGAGGAGGCTCACAAAGTAAGACAAGCAGAAAAAAATCTCTTAAAAATTCACTGGATGTTCTCTATCCTTCACCACAACATATGCATTTGGTTTTTGTTTGTTTTTTTTTTTAAAGATTTTATTTATTTGAGAGAGAGTGCACGAGCAGAGGGAGGGGCTGAGGGAAAAGCAGACTCCCCACTGAGCAGGGAGCGTGGGGGCTGGTGTGACCTGCGGCATGCTTGGGGCTCCATCCCAGAACCCCGGGATCATGACCTGAGCCGAAGGCAGACACTCAACCAACTGAGCCACCCAGGCGTCCCTTCATTTGTTTTAATATAAAAAAGAAGAGGTGAAATGAATTAGATTTGGGGAAGATAAAAAAGAAAATTGTTTTTTTCTCTCCAATCTTAGAGCGAAAAATAATTTCCCAAGGCAAATGTCCCTCGCATCATGTTCCTCATCTACAAGGGGGCATGGAGGCATGGAGGCAGGTCTGGTGGGATTGAACTTGGCTGTGATGGATCTCTCAAGTAAGACAGCAACATTTTACATATAAGATGTTTACATTCAACACAGCAGACACTTCTTTCCCTTTCACCCAACAGCTCCACCACCACCAGCCCCTCTGGTCGCTCCAGCATCTGTGTGTGTGGGAAAGAGGGTGCAAAGTGGGGAGAGTTGGTGGCATGCTGTCCTCTTGCCCTGGGACCTCCTCTAGGACCTCAGAGTGGCCTGAGTGTCCGGGGAGAGACAAGGCAAGTGTACCCACATTAGGCAAACCCGAGAAAGTGGCCTGGGGGCATCTGGATCCTTATGATGAACAGAGTCTCTGTGTGACTTTATTTCAGGGGCTCTGAGGGCTGACCACTGTGGGAGAAATACTGATTCCTTGGCCAAGGGCCAAACTCCCAGTGTCCCTGCTAAAAGAACCCTGGTTTCTTTTTTTTTTTTTCAAGATTTTATTTATTTATTTGAGAGAGAGAGAGCATGAGAGAGGGGAGGTCAGAGGGAGAAGCAGACGCCCTGCCGAGCAGGGAGCCCGACGCGGGACTTGATCCTGGGACTCCAGGATCATGACCTGAGCCGAAGGCAGTCGCCCAACCAACTGAGCCACCCAGGTGCCCCAAGAACCCTGGTTTCTTTCACATATTAGGCAGCCATGTGCTCAGAGAAAATGGGCCCAACCTCCAAATCAAGACTTGAGGTTTGTTGTAGGTAAGTGATGAATCACTGAATTCTACTCCAGAAACCAATATTGTACTGTATGTTCACTAACTAAAATTTCTTTTAAAAATTATGCATTTAAAAAAAAAAAACGAAAAACAAACGGGTTGAACCAAATATAGGTTATCAGGCCCCTCTAGTGACTGGGCTAGTAGTTGTCATGTGATCCAGTACGGGCCAATGAGATGATCAGGGAAGTCTGTGGGGAGCTTCAGAAGTGTGGAGGAAGTTCCTCCTTCCTCCCTCTCTTAGAGCTGTCATGAGAGAACATGGCTCTGGCAGCCATTCTGTGATCATGAAGATAAGAGGATCTCCGAGAAATCCAAGAATCCTGAGGCCTCTGGTTGCTGCTGTGATAGACCCTAGCATCACCTACCTCTGGATTTTGTGTTAATTGGAATACTCAATGTCATTACTGTTCAGGCTCTACTCAGAGACCACATACTAGAGTGGTTAGGACCACAGGCTCTGCCTAGGTTTGAATCTCTGTGGAGCCACCTAATACCATGGTGATTTGGGGCCTCTCTCTGTGTCCCAGCTTCTTCACCTGTAAAAGAAGGATAATGGAGAATGATGACATCAGGCTTTGTGAGCATTAAGTGAGTTAATATTGCCATTCACAACCAGTGGAGGAGACCAAGAATGCATAGCCTCAGCCTCATAATGAAGTTTCCCAGAGGAAAGAGAAACTACTCCAGATGGTTGAGGAGGCAGGGAAAGTGACACTGGATCTGGATTTTGGAAGGTGAATAAGGGTCCACTGTGTGGGAAAACTGATGGTTGGAGCTGGGGAAGCATTCTAAGGCAATAGAAACAGAATGAACAAAGGCCCGGTATCAGTTATCTGTGGCTGTGTAACAAATAACTCCCAAATGTAGTGATTTAAAATGAAATTGCTTGGGGCACCTGGCTGGCTCAGTCAGTCAAATGCCTTCAGCTCAGATCATGATCTCAGGGTCCTGGGATGGAGCCCCATGTCAGGGTTCCTGCTCAGCGGGAAGTCTGCTTCTCCCTCTTCCTTTGCCCCTCCTCCCTGCTCATGTTTGCTCTCTCTGTCTCTGTTTTGCTCTGTCTCTCTCAAATCAATAAAAAATGAAATGAAATTGTTTTGGGGCGCCTGGCTGGCTCAGTTGGAAAAGCCCAACTTGATCTCAGGGTTTGAGTTCGGGCCCCCACATTGGGTGTAGAGATTATCCCCCAAAATAAATTTAAATAGAATGAAATTGTTTTATTATTTATCATGGTTTTGTGGGTCGCCTGGGGCTTAGTTGGATGGTTCTTCTGCAGGTCTCACTTGGGGTCTCCCACATAGCTGCAGGCAGATGTCAGGTTGGGCAGCAACATCTAAGATAGTGCGTTGGCAGGAACAACAGACAAGCTGTGCTCAGCTGAGACATTAGAATGGCTGAGCCCCTCTCTCCTGTGTAATTTCAGGGCTTCTCACTCTGTGGCTCAGAGCTCTCGAGAGCACAAAAGTGGATGCTGTCAGACCTTCTTTAAGGCTTTGGTCTGGACATGGCATCACTTCTGCCATATTCTGCTGGCAAAGATGAGTCACAAGGCCAAGCCCAGAGTCGAGGTGGATTGGAATGGGGCAAGGCGTGCCAACCCAGAGGCAGGTCCATGGAGGGCCATGTTTGGGAAGTGGCTATCACTGGGCCAGAGGTTGGAAAGTGTTTGCCTGAAATGTGGGGATGTAGCGGTAAGTGAGGAAGCTGGAAAAGCAGAGAAGGCAAGAGTCAGACACAACTTTCTGTGTCTAAGTGTGTGGGGGAAGAGAAGCACCCTCTCTTTGTGAGAAAGAAGGAAATACTCAGAATTCTGGCAACTGTCTCCCCAAACCCAAAATGCCATCAGTTGTCTCCCCATCTCCGTGGAGGGGGATGACGAGCAAGGGCTGCAAAACCCACCGAGGATCGCCCTGTGTCAGAGGGGCCAGCACTCTCCCTTGAGGGAGGCGTCTTGTCAGGTATTGTCCTCAGTTTGGAGACTCTGAGGCCACTGCAGAAACCAAGATCTCAGAAACCTTTAAAACAGTCTTTTATATCCTGAAGGTAAAAATCAAATCAGCTACTCCCTGCTTAAGACTCTCCAAGGCTCTTGACATAAAATCCAAACATCTCCCCAGAGCCCTCACCTACATGATTTTTCTCCTTCTCTGTTTTTCTCTCCTACTCCTTCTTGGACCACTCTTGCCCTCCTCACTCACTCTACTCTGGCCACATCCACCATCTTGCATCTCCTTCAACCCTCCTGCCCCAGGGCCTTTGAACCTGCTCTCCCTTCTACCTTTAGCTTGGAATGCCCTTCCCCCTGCTCTTTTATGGCTTGCTTATTACTCTGATTTACCATTCACCTGCAGCATCACTGCTCCCTCCTTCCCATTGTTCTGACATTCATACTTTTCTTATTTCCTGCTCAGCAATTATCAATATTAGATTATTTTTAAATGTCTCTGTTTATGCCTCCCATTTAAATGTGAGCTACTGGAGGGCAGGTTAACTTCACCATTCCTGCATTCCCAGCATGCAACATAAGCTCGATACATAGTAGGTGCTCAGGAAATACGCACTAAGTAAACAAGTGGTCTTTTCCTCATCTTGGGAGAGTTTGTCTTTTATCCTGGATGGTGAGGAGTTATGAAGGTTTATCAGCAGGAGAGTGACATGGCCAGACTTCTGCTTTTTAAAGGCCTACCCTGGTAGCTGTGGGGAGGTTGGGTTAGAGGAAGGATAAAACTAGGGGATGAAGATCAGAGAGGAGGCAGATGAGACTGGGAAGAGGTGGACAAGGGCAGTGGAGAGAAGGTAGAAAAGATATCTGTTCCCAAAGGGCAGGGGAGCTGGATGTCAATGAAATGTTATCTTATAAGAATCAGTTCATTTGCTCTTGATCTCTGTAGCTTTGATTTCCTCCTTTTGCTGACTTGCTCCTTTTCCATCACATCTTGGAGTTCCCAGACCATCTGCAGGGAAGAGATATTACTTTACCTTTAATTGCTTTGCTGGAAGCCCATGCCTCAATCCATCCATGCCCTGTATTTCATCATTTTTTGGCCGCAGACCCTGGGAGTCAATGACTTTGGCAAAGTCCAGGCTACAAAGGGGTTTGAGGGACTATGTGCCCGTTTACCTATCTCCTTCTGTGGGACCTTCTGGGGGCACCCATATTTCCTCCCAGGGAGGGAGCCGGGGCTTACCACAGAGCGTCACATGTAATAAACACCATAAAATGGTAGGTAGTAGATGAGTGGGGATGGCCAAGTGAGTGGGTGGGTGGGTGGATGGAGGATGGATGGATGGATGGACAGATGAGGGGGTAGGTAAGTGGTGGACAGATGCATGAATATTTGAGCTGGATGACCGTGTGGGGGGGGGATGAATGAGTAGGTAAGTAGATGCATGGATAGGTGGATGGATAAGTGGTTGAGTGAGTAGGTGGGTAAGTAATTGGGTATATGGGTGAGTGGGTAAGTGAATGGGTAAATGACTAGGTAGATGGATGGATAAATGGTTGGTGGGTGTATGAATGGGTGGAAAGATAAGTGGTGGATAGAATATGTAACTGGAAAGGAAGATGTGTGAGTACATGGATTGATAGATAAGTGGACAGATGACTGGTTGGATGTACAGTTGGATAACTTGGTAGCTATATGGTTGGATAGTATATGGATGGTTGAATAGATGGCTGGGTTGATGGGTAGGTGGCGGGCAAAAGATGGAAGAAGAATGGGTAAATATTTGGGTTGGTAAGAAAACAAGGCTCACCCTTTACCAGGAACCTGGGCCAGGAAACCCAGGGCTTGATAAAATCAATCAGGCTAGCATAGAATGGGATGGACACTAGAATCAGACATCTGGTCACTCAAGGATCATCCAACAGCTAATAGGTCTTTATATTAGAATATTCAGCCCAAGGGCGAGAGAGCCAGAAAGAATCTTAAATGAGGTCAGATACATGCAAAGCATTTAGTACAGTGCCTGGTATATAGTAACTGCTCAATGTTAGCTGCTACTATTATGGTTGTTGCTGCTGCTGTTATATTAACGTGTACTTACTAGAGTTAGGCATGGGTGCTAAGCACCTCGTATGCATTATCTCGTTAGTCTCTCCTGCAACTCTGGGGGGTAGATTCTATCATTAGCCCCATTTTTACTCATGATTATGATTATTATTATTGGGTGTGACGAAAGAAAACAGGCAAGAAGACTGGAGTCCAAGCTGATGGAAAATCCCCTGGGGCTGCTGGAACTTTGGGCAAGGCCACAGCAAAGAGCAGTTGTCCTGACTGACATCCACTCGGAGATGTCAATGATTTCCCTTGAGCTTTTGGGTGCCCCCATAACTACCCTCATAAAGCAATTATTCCTTCCCAGGGGTCTGTGGGGGAGAGGGGGAGGGGACTCATTAATCTTATTCAGTGCCCAGAAGTGCCAAGAAACCTGAGGCCACTCAGTGGGATTATAGAGAGTGATGGCTGTTATTATGGGTTTTTTTTTTATTTTTTTATTTATTTGACAGAGAGAGACATAGTAAGAGAGGGAACACAAGCAGGGGGAGTGGGAGAAGGAGAAGCAGGTTTCCGGCTGAGCAGGGAGCCTGATGAGGGGCTCGATCCCAGGACCCTGGGATCATGACCTGAGACACTTAATGACTGAGCCATCCAGGTGCCCCATATTATGGGGTTTAAGAAGGAAAAAAAAACTGAGTGGATACAAGGGATTCACTTGTATCTACAGGGGTGAATTGGGCTGACTTGATATCACTCAGCCTCAGGTAAAAATCTCAACACCTCTCAGCAGGAAGTCTGCCGAGAGGGCCTGAGCAGATATAGTTTGTAACCTGGTGCGGGCACTCAGCTGCCTACTCTCTGGTTGACCTTTAGGATGCTGTTCCCCTTGATGAGCTTTTAATTTTTCCCATCTGCAAAATGACATGGTTATACTTGAACTCTTTCCGGGGTGAGGGGGGTCCCTTTTCTGTAAAACATTCTGAATTTTATTATTCTTTTTGCCCTGTTTCCTGTAAGTTCATTTTCTTTCCCCCTGTTTCTTATAAGTACATTATAAGGAGATGGGAAACTTTTGGTTTGTGGAGAAAGAATTGTTATCAGTTGGACTCTTTGGGACATAAAGGAAAATATCACAACTCAGTCTGGTTTAGGTAAAAAGGGAGTATTTACTAGCTCACAGAGCTGGAAAATCCAGGGGCAATGCCTTCAGGCATGACTGGATCCAGAAACTCTAACGACATTGTCAGGACTCAGTATCTCAACCTCTGGGCTCTACTTTCCCCTGAATTGGCTTTATTTCTAGGCAGTCTCTCCTCTTATGATGGCAGAAAATTCTAGGAAATGAAGGTCTGATGTTTTCAAATAGTTACAGTCTTTTCATTCAGAAAGGAAAAATTCTGAACTGTGTGCTGCGCAGAACGTGGGGAAACAGAGACAGAGCTATTCCCACTGTCTGCACTTCCAAGATCCAGGTGTATCTAGATGTTCTTTATCTAAATCTGGAACCAAACTTTGCAGGACTTGGGCCACCCAGAGGGAAGAATCTGAATGACATGGGGTATCTAGCACTAGCCTTGGGCTTGGGGAAGAATCAATCTCCTTCCAGAGCCTTGTGGCTGTGAAATTGCCCAACCATCTCCACTACCATCATTCCAGTCCCAGCCCCTCACCACTGGCCCGGACAATTGCAGATGCCTCATGAGGGGTCTTCCTGCTGCCATCTTTGTCCCCCAATACTTCATAATGCACACAGCAGCTGGAAGAATCACTTCTAAAAATATATCAGCACATGGGACTTCTCTGCTTAAATGCTATCATGGCTTCCCATCAGGATCAGAAAAAACTCAAACTCATTCCTTAACCTTGAGGATAAAATTCCAACAAGGCTCTGTATGGCCTAGTCCTGTCTACCTCTCTAAACCTTCCTTCCCAAGGTCATTTCCACCTTACGGCCTTTGCTTTTATTGGCTCCCCTGCCTGTAACCCCTTCCTCAGAATTTCACATGGTTGTCTTCTCCCTGCCCTCAGGTTCTGAGCTTAGATATATCATCTCTTCCTGGAAGACTTCCTGCCTGACACCCCTATCTAAAGTTGCTGGTGCCTCTCAGACATGCTTTACCACTTCCTCTTGTTTACTTTTCTTCATAGCATTTATCACAATCCAAGTGATCAGATTTATTTATTTAACTTGTTTATTAACTGTATTCCTCACTAGAATATAAGTCCAAGAGCATAGGGATTGCTTGTTTTCTTCTTCTCACTGTATCTCCAGTGTCTAGAGTAGTGTTGGCATATAGTAGGTGCTCACCAATTAGTGGTTGAGAGAATAGCATTTCCAGACCAGCAAATACCTTTGCCTTCTATTAAATTAATCTAGGGTTTTTCAACCTTGGCACTATTGACATTCAGACCTGGAGAATTATTTATCGTGAGTGCCCATCCTGTGCACTGGAGGATGTTTAGGAGAATCCCTGGCTTCTACCCACAAGAGGATGACATCTTGGACAAGGACCATGATGATGGAGGTGATGAAAGTAAACAGATTTTAAAAATATAGTGATATTGGGGCATCTGGGTGGCTCAGTCTGTTAAGGGTCCAACTCTTGATTTTATCTCAGGTCTTGATCTCAGGGTCATGAATTCAAGCCATGTGTTGGGCTCCATGCTGGCTGTGGAGCCTACTTTAAACATATATATATATATATATATATATATATATATATATATATATATATATATATATATATATATATATATAATGTTATACTATTCATTATATTATACTATATAGTATATATAATATTATATATTATACTATATAGTATAATATGTGCAACACTATGGAAATGAATCTCTTCATTTTATAAATGAAGAAAAGGGCCAGAGAGGGAAAGGGGCCCTGTGGCTTAGTCACAGCTTTCTCTTCCAAAGCAGGGGGCTTACTGTGTATCCCTCTTCCTATTTATTTGTCATGCAGTAAATATGTATTTGGAAGAATAAATGAGTAAACATGAGGTCTAACTATGGCATCCTTAGGTAAGCCTTGCTCAATTCTTCAGGTAATTCCTTTGGTTCTATATTCATTTCTGGAGATTATTTGATGGATTCTGTCTCCTCCACTGGACAGGAGCTCCAGGGAAGGATGGTTCCTTTGCCCAGCCTGGCACAGGGCCAGGCACCCAGTAAGCTCTCAATAACCAGCTGCCCAAGGTAACATGAATGAATGAATAATGAATCGCCAGGCTCTATAAACCAGCTGACCCCTCACTCTCTCTTGCCCTCACCCTACTTTATTTTTCATCTTTGCTGTTGCCACCAGCTGCCACATTGCATATTTGTCTGTTGATCTACTTCATTGTCTACCTTCCTCCACTAGAATCCAGAATTCCATCCTAGAATTAGGTTTTAGAATCTAGCATGGAAGCTCATGAAAGCAAGGGCTATTTAAAATTGCAATCTGCCCCCACCCCACCCCTGCCTCTATCCCTCTCCTCTACTTTCTTATCGCCCCCAGCGCTTATCACCGTCTGACATATTTTTTTTACTTTCTTGTTTTTTGTCTGTCTCCAGCCAGCTCTCCAAGGGTCGAACGTTTGTGTTTGATTCACAGCTGTTTCTCAGCCGCTTATCCTAGTGCCTCACACAGAGTAGGCGCTCACCCCCACGTTCTTCACCTGACAAAAGAAGGCAGGATTGCGAGGCAGCCAGGAAAGGGAGCCCAGGTGGGAAGGGCCGGGCCGCCAGGTGCATCTTCGCGCAAAGCCCTAGCCCGCCCCCAGCCTCACCTGGAGGCTGGGCCGGGCAGGCAGGAGTTAAGCGGCGCGCACGCTTCCGACCCGCAGGTGGCGCCGTCCCGCCTCGGTGCCCGACTCCGGGCGCTCCGAAGTGCGGGACAGAATCGCAGCCAGCGCAGAGCCTAAGCTCAGCCCCGACTTGTTGATCTCGCTCAAGCAGCAGCAGCAGCCGCCGCCGCCGCCGCCGCCGGAGCCGGAGCCGGAGCCGGAGCCGGAGGAGGTGGAGCAGGAGGCGCCGCCCGATCGCGGACCTGCCACCCGCGCCCCCAGCGCTCGCCCGCGCCCCCAGCCGCGGAGAGGGAGCCCCGGCTCCTCGGCGCCTGCAGCCTAGCGCGTCGCCTGCCCGGCCGGCGTAGGCCGGGCCCGGCCCGGCCCCGGGTTCGCCGCTGCCCGCGGGCGGGGGCGCCCGGGCGGCCGGGGCGATGCGCGTTCGCTGGCCCCGGGAAGCGGCCGCCCTGGGGGTGAGTGTTGAGGCGCGCGGCCAGCGGCGGGGACACAGGGGGACAGAGGAAGGGGGCTCGCCTGCCGCGGTTCGGCCTGTTGGTCTACCCGGGCTCCGCGGCTTCAGGCCGGGGGGGTGTTATGGGGGGGTTCTTCGGGCAAGGGTTGGGGCCTGGGGACGCGCGAGGGGAGAGGGCGTCAGGATCACATGCTGGGGGGCTCAGGGCAGCCCCCGAAATCACCAGCGCGCGGCGGGAGGAGGGCACGTTTTGAAAAGGCCAGAAAATTCAGCTCCTTTCCCCGCCTCCCACCTTCCCCACCCCTTCCCTTCCAAGCCCCGGGAAAGGCGCAGAACCCGGAGTTATAAAAAGCCATCGCAGGAGAGGAGCGAGGTCGGGGAGGGGGGGGGCGGGGAAGGAGAGAAGGAAGGATGGAGCAGGTGGATCCGCAGGACTCTGCGCGCCCCTCCTGCGGTGGGGTAGGGGTCACAGGGGGAGGGGTAGGACTCCGCACAGATCTTGGCTTTGCGTCTTTCAGGGCTCACTTAGTTACCGGAGCGACCTCAAGAGATGCTCCCGTGCTTTAGGGAGAGGGGTCGCTCCGGAACAGCGAGGCTGTCTTTGACCACCCCGTCAGTTATGACCTCCGACAGGTGGTCAGCTGAAATCCCCCCAGAATTGTCCCCAAGTCTTTTAAGGTTTAGAAAAAGCCAACCCACTGCCACCCCCTAGAGCTCAAATTCTAATTATTTCGGAGCAGGGGGAAGGAAAAGATGAGAAATCTGAAAAAAAAAAAAAAGTTTTTCATGCAGCGCCCCTTTTGCCCATTGTGGGGCTGGTTCGGGACTCGACGGGGAGACCCAGAAAGAAGCGAGTTTCAGCACTCGAAGGGGAGGACAGCGCCCCGGGCGGCTGGGTCTGGCCTGGGCGGCAGAAACCCGGGGTGGGGCCTCCCGGATCCCCGAAGCGCCTCTTGGGGGCCCTCTTCCCGCCCCGAAGAGTCGCTCCTCCCTCCACCCATGGGATGGGGCGGACTTCAGCACTGGCGGGAGGGACAGCGCCAAGCCGTTCAGCCACCCCCGCCCCCCGCCCCCCAGTCCTGAGCCGCTTAAGCACCAGGAAGGTCAAGGCCGGTTGGGGCCCCGGTGGGGAGGTGGGAGGGGCCGCTCCCAGCTCCCTGTTTGCTGACCCGCGTCCGCTTCCTGTCTTTCAGCGGTCGGGATGGAGGTGAGAAGCCGGCCGTGACGCGCGCCCGCGCGGTCCCCTGCACCCCCAGCAGCCCACAGCGCTCCCTGCCCCCCTCCCCCGCAGCGGCCGGCCTTGCCGTCCAGTGACAGCGGCCTGGGGGGGCAGGGGGGGCGGGGGCGGCCGGACCAGCGATGCCGGCGGGCATGACGAAGCATGGCTCCCGCTCCACCAGCTCGCTGCCGCCCGAGCCCATGGAGATCGTACGTAGCAAGGCGTGCTCGAGGCGCGTCCGCCTCAACGTCGGGGGTCTGGCACACGAGGTTCTCTGGCGCACCCTGGACCGCCTGCCCCGCACGCGGCTGGGCAAGCTACGCGACTGCAACACGCACGACTCGCTGCTCGAGGTGTGCGACGACTACAGCCTCGACGACAACGAGTACTTCTTCGACCGCCATCCAGGCGCCTTCACCTCCATCCTCAACTTCTACCGCACTGGGCGGCTGCACATGATGGAGGAGATGTGCGCGCTGAGCTTCAGCCAAGAGCTTGACTACTGGGGCATCGACGAAATCTACCTGGAGTCCTGCTGCCAAGCCCGTTACCACCAGAAGAAGGAGCAGATGAACGAGGAGCTCAAGCGGGAGGCTGAGACCCTGCGGGAGCGAGAGGGGGAGGAGTTCGATAACACGTGCTGCGCAGAGAAGAGGAAAAAGCTCTGGGACCTCCTGGAGAAGCCCAATTCTTCCGTGGCTGCCAAGGTGAGTCTGGGATCTGCGGGCAGTTACACTGGGGGCTCTGCCTGGGTCCCCAGCTGGAGGACCACCGCTGGGGGAGTCTCTGGCTTCTTTCCCAAAGAAGACCAGGAAGGGGGAGGGGCTGTGGCCCAGACCTCAGACGTGAGCACCAACACCTTTCGACTGTTACTGTTTGCATTGGTTACCTCATCCCTTGATCATTCAATACTTTATACCTCGACTCTCTTGGAGAAGAGGATTTGCGGAGATGTAAACTCCCACAGCAAGAGGGTGGACACTGTAAATAAGAAGGCACAGAGGGACGATAAAGCCTTGCTGGGATGGAGTTGAGTTTGGTCTATATACATAATGCTCCCTCGTGGAGTCCTAGACCCAGGCGGAAGGGGGGAGGGGGTCACCTGCTATTCTAATACTTATCCCTGTATTTATAACCCCACTTTGCCCCAAGGAAGGAATGAAAGCAGCTTACAGATGTGCTTGGAGGACATTGAGATACTGTCAGGCAGTTTTAACATAAGTAAGAAAAATGAGGCACAGGGACTCTGAGGGGTAGGTGTGTGCATGCATGACGCACGCAGCTGCCTGTGGATGCTTGTGGGCAAGGGGTCACCCCTGGTTTGTTCTTTATTTATTTGGTGAGTTTATTCCAAGAATGATTTGGTGCAGCTTGTAAAGATGCTTTGGCTGTCGGAAGAGGATGTGAATTTTGAAATAAGATAAAAAAATGAGGCAATGTGAAAAATGAATCAGAAGGAGGCGGAAAGGCTTAGATCACACCAAGTGGACCAGTGTGCTGCTGGGTGAAGGCAGAGGGTATGCTGGCCTGAGACAGACTCGGGGTGGGGGGCCAGGCCAGGGAAGGGGGTCAGTGCTGCTGAGCTGCTTCTTTGTGTTGGGCTGGGTTCCAGGAATGCCTTGGAGAGATGGGGCCTGTCTTCAGGTGGCCAACGTGCTGGGTGTCGGGAGTAAATGACAACACAGTGTGTTCAGCGCTCTAGAAGAGGTTGTGTGAGGCCCAGGGGGAGCCAGAAATAAGAAGTGTTGATGTCGAAATCCAGGACTACCACGCTGGGAAAGACATGCAGAACACTCTCAAAGAGTGGGGCCAGTGGGGGGGGGGGGGCAGGTAGGTAAATGTGTTTGCGGCAAAAGGAAAAAGGCAGGAGGAAGCATCATGTATGTGCTCGGGCTGCCTTGTGCCCCGCCTGGCCTCTCCTTGTGGGATCCCCCTGGCTTAGTTGGCCCTTCACTGAAGGTCCACCTGCAAGGCTGGGTCTGAAGGGGACACTGTGGGGTCCTTTCCCCAGATCTGGTGGCTTGGGGAGAGGCCTCTGAGAGTAGATGTGGGGGGGGGTGGCTGGGAGGAAGGTGGAGGGAGGCCTGAACGTTTTCTCTCTTCCCTGGCAACCCCAAAGAGCATGCAGAGATTTCTAGGCCTGGTTTTCTCTTCTGTGGGCTGCCTCTGACCATAATCCTGCCCTAGGTTTCGTGTCCAGAAACCTTCCTTCTTAAGACAGTCACTCACCCTTAACCGGCTTAGGATCAGCAGACTTATTTTGCTATTTCCAGGCCTGACACGGGTTCTTCCTACACACACCCTGGTTAGGCCCAAACATGACTCTTCCCTGTCCCTGTCCTGTCCCTAAGACATGAGAATGAGGGGCCAAGGAGGGTCGAGTCACCCTCCCAGGGAAGAAGCCGGCAAAGGGCTGTGTTTGGGTTGGCGTCTGGCAGCAAGACAGTGGAGGGAGCTCAGGCTTGCAAAAGGCGCTGTTTGGGAATAAACAGCCTCATCTTGCCCTCGGGTTAATCCGCTCACAGGGACAAGCTTCATGACCTCTCCGTGATCCCAGGCTCAGGCTGTCAGTTCACATTCCTGGCAAATGGACGGTCTAGGACATTCTGCAGCCAGAGCTGAAATGGGGAGGCTCACAGGCAAGCATGATCATTGGTCCCTCAGTATAGAAATCCTGACCATTGATCAAACATTCACTGTGTATGAAATGTAACAACACAACTAGTCCTCATACCAGCTCTCTGTTATTATCCCGCCTTTCACAAATAGGGAGGTTCAGAGTGGTTGAGTAACTTGCCTAAGGTCACACAGCAGGCAAACAAGAGTAGCCAGAAATTCAAACCCAGTGTGATTTTGAAGATGTTGTTCTTTCCATAGTGATTAAGTGCCACAGACTTCTCCCCAGTCTCCCTGCTTCCACTTTTGCCCCCTGCAAATCCATTGCCCACACAGCAGCCAGAGGGAGCTTTTCAAATTAGAGACTGGATCACATTATTCATCTGCTTAAAATCCTCCAGAGGTTTCCCACCACACTCAGAATAAAATCCAAACCTTCCACCATGGCATATCAGACCCTACCGAATCGGTCCCCATGTCCTCTCTCTGAGTTCATCTATTCAACTCTCCTCTGGTTCACTGGGCTCCAGTCCACTGGCTTCCTTGCTGTTCCCTACCCAGGGCAGGCTAAAGCCTGCCCCAGGACTTTTACACTTGCTATTCCTGCCACCTGGAATGCTCTGCCCCCCCGTGTCCCATTCCAGCTGCTTCTCCTCATTCCTCATTTGAGCAAGTCCCTGCTCAAATAACCCCTCCGAGAGACTTTCCCGACCCCTGTCTAAAACGTTCTCCTTCCCCTTACTCTCTGCAACCACACTCAGTGTCTTTCCTGCCTAGGCTTTGAGCACCACCTGAAATTTTATTTGCTTCCTTTTCTTTCTCACCCTCCAGAGTGCGAGCTCCATGAGTTACAGTCACAGCTCTGTTCCCAGCACCCGTCAAGGTGGCTGGCCCAGAGGAGCTCCAAATAACTACATGTGGACTGAATGAATGAATCAAGCAGTCAGTCAGTGTGTCTCGGGTTTTGGGGCTCTGTCTCTTGTTCCTCACTGCCTGCCTGCAGCCCAGCTTCCTGGCCTCCTTCAGTCATGTGTACTTTGCCCACCCCACCCCATCCACCCCCCAGGTTAGATGCCTTGCTTATCAGAGCAGCAAAGCCTATGGAAATTTCTCAGAGGCCACAGAATGAGATGGTCAAAGGGAAGATCATTTCTCCGTGGTCGTGAGTTGCAGGAACAAGCATATCTCCTATGTTTAGAGCAAGGACAGACCAGGGTCCCAGGCCCAGTCCCACCACCTCCCCAGTTTCTGGCCTCAGGCGGGTTCTTCACCTCTGCAAGCCTTCGCCTTCCACCTATAAGATGGAGATGCAAGGCCCTTCTTGCAGGGTCATCATGAAATCATGTTTGTGAAGATTTAGCGCGGTGCCTAGCACATGGGAGTAGGTGGGGCTCGTTGCTATAAATAGGAGCAGAGTCCTTTCTCTATGACTGGGTGGGCTGAGTTGCAACAAACTCTTTCCTTCTGATAGCAGTACTGGGAGACCGAGCTGACGCTGTTAATAATTGATGGGATGTTCTGGCAACACGGAGACAAACCAAAGTACAGGCTCTAGCCTTCACCGTCAGGGGAGTGAAAATCAAAGTCCATTAGGCAAAAGGCAGTGTGATGATTCTTGCTTGGAAGCTGGGGTCAGCCCCGTCCAAGCAGCAGGATTGTGGTCCTGGGCCACCACTGGGTTCCTGCTTTCTTGGAAAAATCTCCAGGCTTTTCTTAGCAGGAGAGAGAGGGAAATAATTCGCCAGGCCAGGAGGGTCTGCCTTCCCTGGAATAGTCTCAGGGCATGTATCTCAGTCTGATTGGCTACTGTTGATTGTGCCAGGCGCTAGTTAGTGGTACTTTATATCCCCTATCTCATTGAAATCCCTTCAACAATCCTATCAGGTAATCTGCCAATTTGGACTGCAAGTAACAGAATAGAAAACTAAAAGTGGCCTCTACAAGGAGGAAGATGCATCATCTCACGTAACAGAAAATTCCAAGGTAGCTGGTTTTGGGCTAATGGCTCCATGATACCATCAGGATTCTAGAATCGTTCCATCTTTCTGCTCCTCCAGCTCCTGCAGGTGGCTTGGCCCTCAGGCTTGATTCAGCCTCACGTCACAAGACGGCTAATGTAGACCCATGAGGTCCAACCAGTGAAGAGGGACATTTCATCCCGTGTGCCACCTTTTTCCCTGAGAGGCAAACCTTTCCCAGGAGTCCCCTCAGACTTCTTTTCAAATCCCATTGGCCAGAATCAGGTCACATGCTCATGCTCTCACAGCAGGGAAGCCGGGGAAGGCAAGTGTCCAGCATTTTCAGATGCAGGAAGGAATGGCTTCGATGAGTGGTATTAAGACTCTTTCACGAAGAGAAAATTGAGGCTCTGAGAGGTGAAACCACTTGCTGGAACTCCCACAATTAAATGCTCAATAAATATTTGTGGCAGGAATGAAAATGGCAGAGCTAGGGCCTGAACCCAGGCTGGTCTGGTTCCCAGCCTGTGTTTCTTAATCCTGGAATCTTGGGCAGATCATTCAAGCTGTCTGCACTTTAGTGAGCTCATTGGCCAAATGGCAGTTAGAGCAATGCCCACCTCTTGGGGCGGTTTTGATGACTCAGTGAGATTTCAGATGTGAATATAATTTGCAAGTGGAAAGTACTTTATAAATGTGAATAATCATAATAATTACATATTATTATATTCAAAAGTGGGAGTGGTCTTTATTTAAAGATAGTGGTCAGTATTTTGCCCACCACAGATCTGATTAAGAATCAACTCTGGGTGGGGGTAGGGAGCCTGCCTGGCTCAGTCAGTAGAGTGTGTGACTCTTGATCTCAGGGTCGTGAGTTCAAGCCCCATGTTGGGTATCGAGATGACTTAAAAAATAAAATCTTAAAAAAAAAAAGAATCATCTCCAGGGTCTAGAAGATGTGGTTCAGTTCTCAGGTCCATGGCTTACCAGGAATATGACCTTGGGGGAGTTCCTTCCCTTCTCTGAGTCTTAGTGTCCTCATCTAGAAAAGGGGAATTAAAATGGAGCCCACCTGAGAGGGCCACAAGGAGATAATCTGCATAAAGTGCCTGGCACATGGTCAGCATTTGATA